TTTGATGTTAAGGTAGAAAATGTTTACAGTAGCAAACCTTTTTGGTTACCCCGCAGTAACTAGATGGCGGTTCTTTATTACATAGTGTTAAGATGCAGAAGTTGCCTACGTTCGAAGCACGATATTAGTATTTTGCTTCTACGATTACAATATTGTACGAAACTTTGAAGCAATAGCAACGAAATAGCTTTATAATTTATGATTATTATTAAATCCTTATCGTATAAAATTCTAAATATTCGTGTTTATAATTTTTGACATTTTGTTTCCTATTCACATTACAATTTCACATTACCTTGCTATGCACGTTAGATATTAAACGCAACTGCCCTTAAATATCACTGAATGAGTAGAATTAGTACTTACCGAATAACTATCTCACGTTTTATCACGCAAATTGATATGATAACCGTGTTGTGGACCATTTTGTGCCGATAGGGTTATAAAAGAAGTTGGGATGTTTTATATTCACACGCGAAACGATAAAAATCAGCAATATTGAATTATAAAAGTGTAACGCGTAAATCAGATTTTAATTTGAGACCAAATACAATATACTCGTACTTGTCGAGGTCTCAATGCGATGTATATTTTCAGTGTAGATTTATGAAAAGCGCATATTCGGCACATTCTGTTAGATATCTTATGAAAATAAACTTACCATTGTATGTTACAGCATTTTCTGCAAATCTTTTACTTGTAAAGCTGTATTGAATCCATCTAAGTATCAGAGATCGGGTTAGTATAAAGAATATATTTTGTTGATTGATTTATCAGAATGTGGAATTGTTTTGACAAACATTTATTTTTTATTTTTTCTAATAAATATTTTTTTAAATAAAATCCTATGTTACTTCTGATACTTCCAAGTGTTTGTGTACAAAGTTTTATGATGATGGGTTGAGTAGTTTTTGCGTGAAAAATCAACAAACAAACGGACTTTCGCAGTTATAATATTAGAAATGATTTTATTTATATTATTATGAAACTAGCATATAACATTTCTGACAAATCCACAAACTGATCGTTTCAACAAACCGTCCAACGCGAGCACATGGCTGTACATTATGAACCGTAAATGGCGCTTTATAGGTGGAAATAGAAAGAATTATTTAATGTAAGTTTGTAATCTTTTCTTCTACTAGTTAACCCGGCAAACGTTGTTTTGCCATATAAATTATTTTTAGTTTCTAGATAAATTCTAGTGTAGACAAACAGTAACTTACATATTATAAGTGTGTAAGTATGTAAAACTTGATTAACTGAACTAATCGTGCCAAATGCACTTAAAATTAATAATTTTATTATCTAAAATATAAAAATGTTTTCTTCTTCTTCTTTTAATATGTTTGTTAAAGTCTAAGGGTGGTTTTTACGGCGACAAAAATTGGAATAATTACCGGGAAAACGGGGAAAAGCTGAGGTTTTCTTTTTTCAATCGATTATCGAAACAAATTCCGCAGTCTTCGATTAATTTTTGATTTATTGTTTTATATGGTGTTTTGCGCAAAGTGTTTCCTACTGAGTTTTCTTTTGTCCACTGACAAACGAAACAAATTCCGCAGCTTTCTTCGATTTATTTTTGTTTGATTGTTTCATTTCGTGTTTTGTGTAAAGTGTTTAATAATCTATGATCACTAAGTATTGCATGTGACACAATTCGGGTTGTTTTAGTGGGTCCCACTAATATAATTTGTTCTTGAATTGGTGGCAAAAGTTCGTGGAAACGTAGATACTTTGGTTACCCGAGCTGAACCCTACACACCGCCCTATTACCAGGGTGACGGTGAAGGAGAATTTTTTGCGCCGACTATAATATAGGCAGGAACAAAAAAATGCCACATTTCAAATCTTTTTGACAGTTGGGTACGCTAGTTACTTATACAATTAGAGCCCCCGCAGACCACAAACTTTTTATCGGCCGATAGTTTGATCGGGTTGGGCTGTTAGCGCGCACACTACGCCAACTAAACAGTAGGTATGTTAATAACGATAGATTTAATTTGAATTCTTCGCATCTATCAGAGTGTGCCTGGAACTATTTTTCAGTTTTTGATTACAGTTTTATTCATTTGTTTCAAGGTTAAGTGATTAAATTTTGCGAAAATTTCGAAAGAATACTATTGACCACAAAACAATTGAAGCAGATAAACAAACTCACAAAAAAACGGTAAGCAGTGAAAGTAGGTATATGAAGCTACGCGTGATATACGTGAAGACAAGCATCGTAAGCTTCCAAGCAGGTGAGTTAATATTTTGGTATTTTACCATCAACAAACTACCAAAGCAAGTGATCATCGTTATTTTGCTGCTTCAAATAGTCTTTTTGGAGAGAGTATTTCTCTGATTGAGAAAAAGCCGGTTTCTGGTTAACTTTTAAGTTTGAAACAAAAGTTGTTGTGCGGCTATTTTTTGACAATTGACACTAAGAAATCATCAATCATTCCCCAGATTTATTCTTCGACTATTCATAGATTTCATCAATTATGGAAAGAAAGAAGAAAAAAAATTCACCCAAGCAACTTTTGCTTCCTAAGACAGAAGCATCAACGGTTATGGAAAGCAGTGACGATGACGAATGCCACGCTATGAATATAAAATTCGAAGATTTACTCTTAGATCTGCGTAAACAAGTTTTGTATCGCGATAATGGTAAGCGGTTCGGTATGGACGATATGGAGGGGCCGGCTGGACCAGATGCCAAACAAGGCAACAAAGTTTTAATAACGAAAGAAAATTCGAGAACATCGAAGGATTCTGAGGCCGCATCATGCAGTTATATTGAGGGTGCTTCTGCTTCTTCGGAATCACAATCGAACCAAACAAATACTCCTCAACCAGTATCGGGTAAACCGAAAATCGACTACTTCCCTTGCAATTCACCAGAATCGAAGCGAAGATTACATTATTTGTACCAACCGCTAACTGAAGATGAAAAGTTGGAATGGGAAAAGAAGAACAAACTGAAGAAGTCCAAGAAATCGAAACCAGCGAATTAATGTCATTTTGTGTTTGCTTCCTTAGGCAATAAATGATATTAATTAGAACATGCGTCTCGTTATTTGCTTCTTTGTCATAATATGAAATGTTCTATTACGTCATCGTTCTACACAATAACCTTATCAGCATTAGTGTATAAACAACTTCATTTAAGTTTTGCGTACGCTGCATTTCAGTTCAGTCAGTTTTCATTGCCTGTTGATTCGTGTGTCTAGTGCATATGTTGCAATTTTCCAAATTACTTCAATTTTATTCAGCATATTCGATCAAGCATCGACAGTATTTAATGACAATACAAGTGTTTAGTTTGTTCCTGCAGAATGGAGTTATTTTACAGAAAAAATCACAAGTAAGACGTGATAGGTAAATTAAAAAAATTAATAAGTAATGCTCTAATAATAAAGTACTTGTAATGTGCCACCAACTCATGAATGCTTCTTGCGTCAGGGAAATCAGACTCGTTGATTGAAGATGTTAGTTTATACGATTTAATTTTAGGAAGTAGTAGCGTGAACAGGACCAGTCTTTCAGCTTTTGGTTTATGAACTGTGTTCTTCACAATTTGTTGAACCGAACACGCACTCCAAGACTGCAGGAAATTCTTAGAGTAAATACAAATACAAATACATAACAAGTGATATAAGATTACTATGAAACAACAAGTGATATAAAATATGATTAAATATCAAGATATTGAATATGAGTACATTACAATAATTTAGATGTCAGCTCCCAACAGCGTATTAATTACAGTAGAATCCGTTTAGTATGACTCCGCTTATATTGACCAACCGGTTATTATGACGTAACTACACTACGAAGTTTGGTTTTCATATAAAATTCTTTTTAAAAAAGTCGGATATAATGACTTCGCTTACAGTGACATGTCGCTTATTATGACCCATTTTTAATAGATTATGTCCGGTTATAATGACCAACATGATTCTTTACACCTCCGGTCATGCTCGTTGATTCCCGACGACGATCGACACGTGGCGAACTTTTTATATTTATTGCTACATTTCTTTTATGATTGTCAAATTACTTTTATGTATTTACTATCGGAAAGACCAAATGCTTAAATAATAAATATAAGCATTCGGGCAGCAGTACCTTGTCCACGACTTAATCCGTATTTTCCAAATTAACCTTCTGGTCTGTTTTTCACCCTCATAAACCAATTAAATCTTAACCAATCCTGTTCTAGCAGACCATATAACATGACCGATTTTCACAACTTTGAAATCTAAGAACAGTTCCTACTTATCTTCTCACAACTCGTCACGCTGCCGGAGGTGAATTTATTGTTTGTGTTTAACTATTTGTGTCTTGTGTTTCTTGTGTTTGTTACTATGCACAGCAATATTGCAAATGATAATTTGACCATAGCTATGTCCTCTATTCATAATAGTATTAGAGACTGTTTTTACAATAAAATAAAAAAACAAAAGCAGACAAAAATGACAGATTATTTAAAACAGTAAAAAATACTCTTGTATGTGTAATTATGTGCAATTTTGATTTTAATTTAATATATATGTATACATTTATATACATTTGTAATTACTATGTTTATATATTAAAGTACCTACTTAGGTACATATTTACGTAAAAAAAGGTTTTTATTTCACAAAACGGTTTGTATGACGTCCGCTTATTATGACGTGTTTGTCAGTTCCCTTCGATGTCATTATAACCGGACTCTACTGTACTTACAACTTTCCTTGCACTTTCCTTCGGCATTTGTGAACAAAAGAGATTACGTGTGGCGAGATATAGCTGTAGGGTGTTAATGTGGTGTGCCATGGGTTTGGAGCGGTCATATACCTATGTGTTTGCGATTGGATCGAGGGTAGTTAGGGATAGGAGTGAGGCGTGTTTAATATGTTATATGATCGCTCAGTTAACGGTTCGCACAAGTGAACAACTACAAGTACATTATCATCCGTGCTTTCTTAAAGCAATTATTAATACTTTGCAGCGAAAAAATACTGGAATACTTTATATAAAATACTTATATTCAGATTTTTTATTTGTATTAGGTATATACAAATTTATGGAAATTTATTTATTTTTGGAAGTAAAAATGTTAAATTTAATTAGAAATGTGATCATCTGCTTGATGCGATCTTTTAGTTTAGTAAAATTCAATTGATAGAAATTAAAATTGCAATAAGAATCGAGATTCAACTAGTATGCTTAATTGTAGTTTGTTGTTGGTGGTGTGGAGTGAAAAGGAGCGCTGCGACAGGAGGACACAGTCACATTTGGGGTGTCTTGATGACCTGTTGGATGCTTGTAAACTTGCAGCTCACTCCGTTCAATACCTAAGTTCAGGTAGATTGTGTTGAGCATTTGCACCTCATTACTATCCGCATATGCGAGTACATAGTGGTTACTAGGTAATGAACCTGTGGAAGCGTTAGGGGTCGGGGATGTCACTCTCCGCGAGCGTTGCGCTTCATGTGTTTTCGTGTGCATTAGCAAATCGTGAAGAGTTCTGTACGGAGTGCTACAATAATTGCACAAATACTCTCTGCGCAATTTAGAAGTTTTAGACAATCTGAAATAATAAATAAGATAATAAAAATAGTTAGATAGTCAACGCACTTATTTTGAAATACTTAGCATGAATTTCGTGGCCATTCCGCAAGTGTTCTTTTAATTCGCTGAATTTACGATAAAACGTACAACAACCTATCACTGGACAAGCAAACATTTTAACTGAAGACATCCTCTTTCCCTGTATCATTTTATTGGGTTTGTGATGTCTTCGGCATCTACCGCCTTTGCTTAAAGCAGAAATGTTACCTGCAAGTTACATATTTAAAATATTAATAGTTTCATAACTAGATAGTGTAAGATTTAAATAAGTCTGGAATGGATATCTCTCAGAAGCCACCCAATACAATAAATGGATTTTAAAATTTTTAGTCTATTTGCACTGAGTTTATTAATGAATCGACAATTGTTCCGCCGGTGAGGGTCTCGTCAGGACCGGCGATCTCCTGTCTCAAATAGACTAAAAATTCTCTCAATTTTAAAATCCATTTTTAAGTTAAAATGTTGCACGAAATAATCACCTTTCAATACTACATAAAACTATTACAAATCAATGCAAAAGTTTGTTAAACATGACATGGATAGCTCTTTAGATCATTAGAGGTCTCATCAGCACAACTACTGGTTTGACAAATACTCGTATCGACTCGATATAGTTTTAAGTTACGGAAAATTTCGTTACAAGCAGATATTTTGTCTCCACTAAACATTTGCATTAATTTGCAATAGTTATTACTTTAGGAAATGACTACGAACGATGATCAAAAACTGCAAGTGTGATGATACATTAACAATTTCTTAACTTACAATATATTTGGTCGATGTGCTTTTGTCTCGGTGCGTTCAACGGTGAATTCTTGATCCATTCACTATCGAAACTGTTTCTCGTCGTAATTGCATGCTGGTAGCAGTCTTCGTCGCAGACGTCCATTCGACAATCCATCTCCTGGGTATACTCTAAAACATTTTAGTAATTCAAATTCATCCCCATCAATAATTTCTATGGTCATGTTTGAAATTCAGCATATACCTATTTGCATTTTAGACACGTGCGTTGATGAGTGGTCCACATGTTCGAATCCCCCGTCGTTTTTATCAGTATTGCAGAGTCGATGACTATCAACCATGTCTAAAAAGGGGTACACAAAACACTACAAGAAATTTTAAATCTGACCAAAAGTGTCAGAAAAAAAAAGTATTAAATCTGCATGCGTTTTATTCGTTAAATGTTACCTTGACGACTGATTCAAAATTTTATATAGCAACTCAGTATTCCTCTGCATTGTTTTTTTAAACTAAATTATATTTCTTAATGCACCTCCGACTCGTGCATAAGCAATTTCGCTCAATACACCCAGTGTTAAAAAAATTTTATATTAACTGTACTGACGAACCACCACGTTTGAATCTGTTTTATTCATAGAGGTTACTTTGATTTCATTGGTGAAATTGCAATCCCGATATGCGCGCGATTCAAATTTTCAGTAGAAAATATTAAATACATATTTCTTCGCACACTCAGTTGTCACCACAAAAGTTGCAATTCAGCCAATATGAACAAGCTGTACAAATATACAAGCGACGAGTATTGGATATCATAAACGAACAATTCTCTTAAATTCAGATCTTTGTTACTGGTCAGTGCCAAGTTCGCGGAGTTAATGAGCGTGGTATAGCCATACCATGTGGCCATATTATGAATAGAAACTAGTCCAATAGATAAAAGTTTAGTATTAGTTACAAATTCGTAAAATATAGTTTAATAAGTTTTTTTCGATGAAAATTCGTGCGTGCCTCCGCTTTCTAGGAAACGGTGAGTATGAGTTGTAAAACTTACTAATTTTAAGAGTAATTTATTTCGCCAATTTTATTATTCGATGTACCTAATTGACCATGATTTAATTCATCACAAAATTGATACAATATATTGATTTAAAATAAATCACAGCTCGGTAATTTTCCACTGGTAAATACGAATCATTTATAATTCATACTCATACATTTTTAAAGGAGTTTTTTACATCTTTTGCAATTTCTCAATTCGTCGCCCTCACCGCCATTTTGTAAATATTATTAAGCAATGAAGCAATCAGGTTATAATTATCAAATATGTTTGCATCAGAACGGCCAAATTTAAATTTTTTTTCGGTTTTGGATATTTTTAATTTGATTGGTCGTGAAATTTAGTGACTTGCTGATTTTATAAGATCAAGTTTGACAGGGGGCGGGAACAATTCAATCTTGGAGGGCACGCTTACGTTACAGCGTGTCGCATTTTACTTGTCGTTCCTGATCAGCAACATTACTTGTAAACCATAAAAAATATTCATCTTTCGTTAGTGCAAAAATTCTCGTCCATCATGGGAAGCATCGATGAACCGGATCAAGTGCGGAGACTTCTGGTGACGGAAATGAAGAAGGTCGCTGCTAATAACGCACCAAAGCCTTCTGCGGAGCTTACAGAACGTGATATCCAACGAGCAAACTATAGAAAAAATAAACGAGAAGGTATAGAGCGCCGGCGCGACATTAGGCGTTATTCAAGGGAAATCGCAAACAGTTTCCCTGGCATCAGTGAGGCGAACGATAAACAACGACGCGATATAGAGAAGATGGTACAACGAGTTGTGGAAAGTATGTTACCCGGAAGGACATCTCGAAAATATAAGAAACCATCCTCGTGTACGACTAATCGTTCCATTAATCCAGTTTTGTGGGAGTGGAATGAGTATGTCGTCAATGAACTTAATGCTATTAATACTTCTCTGATAAGAATGTGCCTTGCGCTGGTGAAGGCTATTCCGGAAAAAGTCGCTCCGACCACTTCGGCACTAGCTAAACGGGTTTTGCAAACTCTATATCCAGCACAATATCCAACTAACGATGACGATGCAGCGCAACCCGAGGAAGCACCACAAGAAGCAGAATTAACTTCTTCGAAGGAGGTAGCTGTTGATGAAAAATCTAAGAAGGCACCGCCGGAAACAAATGCCATAGAACCGGTGAAATGTAAGAAGGCAGGGCAAAAACGACAAAAATCTGGAAAAAGGAAGGCACACAAGTAATGCTGTAATCAATACCATCATTGCAAAATAAATTTATTTCCGGAAGGAAATAAATAAATAGAAAAGGCTAAATAATTTTAAAAAATGAAACAAAAAGGAAAATTTTAACTGTAGAACATTATATATTTTTGTTGTTTGCAATGTACAATCGCATGCGCATTGTTCTTTTGACATCAAAATTAAAATTTTACTTTTTAGCGGTGCTTTTTTTATCTTATCCATATTTTTAATAGATAGATCAGGTTAGGCGTGTTTCCCTTTGCATTTCACCCTTTCAATCAATATCGACCAGAATATTAAATAATCAGATTTTTTAATACGCTTGTTAAATATAATGAATAATTTGTTTATTCATGTACGAGTACAATGGTACGAGCGTAATTCGGTTAATGAAAACAATTCAGACGAAATATTTATTTTTTACACATAATTACAAGATTTACTTTTGATATTGCCGAGACGTTCTCTTCTTACGTTTGTTTCGCTTCTTCTTTCCAGGACGTTCAGATTCTTCCAGAGGTTGATATAAATAATGCAGTCTTCGTTTTGATTCCGGTGAATTGCAAGGGAAGTAGTCGATTTTTGGTTTGCCGGATAATTCCCGAATGCGTGAAACCATTTCGGGTGATAGGCGCCCACGTTGGTTCGATTTTGTTTGCGATTGTGATGAAGAAACATAATGGTAGGTGTGAGTGCACGATGCGCCTTCCTTGGGCGATTTTATTCCTACCGGAATCTGTATCTCGTATGTGGCACGCGCTTCGATTGCCTCCTCATCCATCCGATCCAGATCAAATAGCTGTTCATTCTTGCGTTTGGAAATTTGTTTGCACACATCCGAAAGTAAATGATCGAATTTTAAATTTAATGATTCCCATTCCTCTTCGCCACTTTCTGATGCTGTGCCGGCTGGTCTAAGGGGATTTTTTTTCTGCTTGTTCATAATTCATTCATACGAGGGAATTAATTATAATTGTCACCCGTCAAGGAAAGTATCACCGAATAAAATTCCCCTTCAAGTTGGGCTATTTCAAGCTTCCAAATCATCACATGTCCATCCATTTTTACAATAACATTTCCATCATTTTGAAATGGTTAATTAGCGTTTTTTTCTTCCTGTATTTTTATTATGTTATGATTCATCTACGTTTTTCAGCAGTTAAATTATCATCCAAGAGATGATCCGACAGCTGGACGTCCAAATTCCAGGAGGACACTGGAGAGACTTGAGAGATCAGGCAGGCATGCCTATTAAGAACAAAGAAGAAGAAGAAGAATTATCATAAACGTTAAATTCCTTCCTCAGACAATGAAATTGTGCAATTAACATAACTATTAAGAGCGCGCTTTTATTTTACCCTATATTCTTCAAATACGCTTTAATGGCACAAAGGAATTATTATTTCTTGGGTGTTGTAGATTTGACAATGCTGCCAGAATACCATTCAAAATATCATTTTTGGAAGAATGTAGAATATTTGCAAATCATTAACGTTTCTACATGATTCATAATAAACGTGTAGTCTTAAATTCAGCTAATAAATAATTTATAAGAATGTACAGTTTACACTCGTTTTAAATCAATTTGTACTACGGTTGGTGTTCATTTTTGAGTTTTTTTTTTTTCTTTTCGCCGTTAAACGTATTCTTGGGCTGTGGTGTGTCGGTGCTTTTTTTGTTGATAAGTAATATTGTTACTACCATGATGAATAATTTCTGTACAAAATATGTATTTATTAATAACCAGGCTTTACCACTTATAAGTCTTGAACTTAATAGTATATAATATTTGTAAACAATTTAGGGGTCCTGTTCCGCATTTCGTTCTTTTCGTTTCGGTGCACTACAATATATTCGCTGCATGGCGCTTATTTTCTACAATCTTATTTTCTCGAGGAATGAATTTAGTGACTGTTAATAGTTGATTTTATTAAGTTCAACTTTTCAATCATGTCGCGTTGAGGCCCGTGGCTTGTCGGGCGCGCATTTACAAACCTTAAAAATTATTTATACTCTGTTTTATCTATTTTCGGATTTGTAGTCATGTCGTAGACCAAAGAAACTTCTCCATCTAAAGCCAATGCACGACCTTCTATCATCCCAATCAACAAAGATAAAGAGTTACGGAAAGAAACATTTTCAACACGTTGTCGAAAAAGCTCAATTTAATCAAATTTTGATCTGAATTGCTTATGCCAATTCAGCGGTAAATTCAGAGGGAATATTGCCAGCAAACATAACGAGAAAGAACGGACAACAACGGCGGTCACGTCCTCAAAGCTATGGAAACCTTGACAGCCATAGATAAGTAACTCTCTGCTTGCCTCTATCACTTCCAGATGTCTATCGGCAAGAAATCGGACTTTGCAATCACAAATTGCTATAAACAAATCGAAGTTGCACTCGATAAGCTTTCTATCACTGCATTTACACACTGGGGGTATAGATAAGATGTGAAACTGGCAGAAGTCGATTTTCTGTCCAATTTACAGATGAGAAGAAAGGAACGATTGCAAATATTTACTGCTTCATTTTATTCGTGTCTTGTTAAAATATATTCATCAAGTCATATGGGTTCTATTGTAATAACCTAGCAAGAAAGATTCAAACGTTTGAAATATACTAACTATTTATAATCACAAATTATCAGGTTCATATATTACTACACATTTTCAACATTTATACAGTGCATAATAGCAAAACTAGACTCCTCATTTCTTTGTATTGTCTGTGGTTGGGGTACTAGCCTTCGCTTCAGGTATTTTATGCTTCAAAGAAGCTTCAAACTTTTCAAATTCAGATTTGGTGACCTTGTCAGCTTCATCTTCAATTTGCTCCACAGCCAGCACCTCAGGAATATAGAATTGCATCATATTCTGGACGCCATTCTTTAATGTCACCGTTGAGCTCGGGCAATTTGTGCATGATCCTTGCATCTTCAGCTTCACAACTCCATCATCAAAGCCCACGAATATGATATCACCGCCATCTTCTTGCACCGTCGGTCGGATTCGTGTGTCAAGCAGTTCCTTGATCATTTGTACTATTTCACTGTCATCTTCTTTAATTTCTGTAAAATTTAAATTCATACATAACACTTTAAGTCACTTGATTAAATAACTTACGAGTATCAGAATTTGGTACAGCATCATGCAGGATTGGCAAGCCAGAAGCAAAGAAATCCATAATAGTAGCAAATATCTCTGGTTTTAACAATTTCCATTCTACATCTTCATCCAACCTTGTCACAGTAATAAAGTCAGGCCCAAGGAAGACAGATTTTACTCCTTCAATTCGAAATAAAAGTTTCGTAAGTGGTGAACAAAAAGCTGCTTGCCCATTAGGAAAATCCATTGTTTGTCCAGCTTCCAAAACCTTCTGGCCAGGTAGAAATTTGAGACTGTTTGGATTGGGTGTCTCTTGTGTCTGTATAAACAATCTTAGATGGGGAGATAATGAAATGTGTTTTCTTCTAGTGATATAAAAGTACAAGATAAAAATTAATAAAAATTAGTTACTTGTATACACAGTCTGTTAATAATTACCCTTGAACAAGACGTGGTTTCATGCAATTCGAGCATGTCCTAATCAATTTACTAGCGAACATCTTCAGATTTTTTAGAAGGTGCAATAATTTCTTATTTTCGATGAATAACCGGGGTTATAGAGGTTAGAATCAGAATTAAACGTTGATGTTCTTTTTGTATGTGCATATTCAGTTGCATAGCATAAATATTGCGAAGTTCCTCGACCACCTTTGAATTCATATACAGTGGAATCCCGGTAATCCGGCAATCACTTTGCAGGGCAGCGAATTTGTCGGATTATAGAAAAGTGCCTAAGACCTCTTACAGTCCGGAATTTTTTTACAAAAAAATACCTTGTAATCTGACAAAACCCAATCCTAAAGTACAAACATGACATATGACCATGTCGGATTAAGCCGTGTCCGGATTACCGGTATTCCTCTGTAGCTACTTCGTGTTTGAATTCCTTGTTCCATTCACCATAAATTATTAGCTACTGCCTATGAAAATTTTGCAAACAATTGCAGGGCCAGTAGTAAATTAAAATTACCGTAACATTGCAATCGCTTCCAGAAAACGAAGCGAAAATTTATGCATAAAACAAGTAAATATAACAAGTATTTGAATTAAAAAGTGTTTGAACGACGTATATGTGATGGAATTTCATATTCACCGATTTACTTTAGACAACTTTTTATGAATGTCAAATATGTCCGTCTCTCCTAGAGTAAATGAGTAGTATATCTAAAGTCAATCAACCCGATATCGCACAAAATAACAGAATTGGGTACATTTGCACTTACTTTTTATAATATGTCAAAAAAGAAGGTGGATTTATTGCCATTTATGAACCAAAGTAATTATGATTAATTATTGCTCAAAACTTTGCTTTGAAAAGCTGTAGAAATTATTATGAAAATCAGCCAGGATAAAAAGGCATTCACAATGACTAAACTCATGCATGAATTTCATCTCATTCCTTTACACTTTTGAAGTTATTTTTAGCAATACTTTAAATACATAAATTTAAATTTAAAAAAATACATAGAATTGAATTAGGAAGGGAGACAAAAGAGGATCTGCACAGGTCCCCTAAATTAAAGTAATTTATTTTTTTTATACAAGAACATTACCGATACTTAAAAAATAGTTCACTTGTTTTCCTTCACTTGCAAACCTGCAACAAACAGAAGAAAAATTATAAATTAGAGTGCAAAAGCAGACCATAGACTTTAGCTATGGTTTGAATAAAAATTAATAAAAATTAATTGATTGAATTGTAATTGTGGCTACTTCATATGACAAATGAAATACAAATTGCACCTGGGGTAAGTGGTAGCCCTGCTTTGATTTACCACTAACTTTCAATCCATAAGCAATTGAATTGCAGATGGATTACATAGATAATGGCACAATTAAGATGAAATAACAATTATGTGCTAACCTGGTGGTAATGACTGCTTCAGTTTCTCTGCCTTCTCTTTGTCAAAGATCACCAGTGTGTACAGGAAGCGTGAACAACGCACCTTGAATTTAGTGTTTCCCTTCTTAGGATTGTTCTTGATCTTCACAGCTAAAAAAAAAACGAAACATATTAATAATTTTGTATTTCTATGCAAGTTGAAGCATTGCTTACATTTGGCATCCTTCCTCCTCGCGCGCAGAAGGAAGTCTTTGATTTCCTTGATTTCACGGGGCTTTAATCAAACAAATTATGTTAGCACAATGAACTACATTCTAACCTGTCGTGTATTTTGCTGAGGTGTGTCCATAACGATGTAAACAGCTCATTCACCACACGTACGTACCATGATGGATGCCTCTAATCGTCCTGCAGAAAGATCCACAAATTACAATAAAATCGCTGATGCTCGCAAGAAAATATCTTGCGGATAGTATGAATGCCATAGTAGTGAACATAATGATTAGCGATCGAAGCAAATTCACGATTCCTTACGGCGGATTGGCAAGGATTTAAGGCAAAAATGATAATTGTACGTACCTTGTTTACTTTAGGAACGATTGCAAAAGAAAGAGGAGAGCGCAGGGCAAAACCATTACAGAGTTGACATACGTCAACCAGTCGATGCTGATTGGTGAGACGCGTTATCAACCTTTACGCGCAAAATTCAAATTTTCAAATTTACAGCTGCTCAAAAAAGCGGGCATTTTAAAAATTTAATTAAATAATATCCTAAACATGTTGAATTTAATTCATATAACTTATGTATAGTTAAAATACTCTTTTTCTTTGAAGTTTTCTTGAGGTCCCCGATCAGTGAAGCTTATGATATTAAAAACATAGCCATCCAAGATCCAACGTGCGTGTTCATAACCTCCCAGTTCATGCATGTTTGCAGTGCTGCGTTTTTAAAGAACACGTTTGTTTTTATCATCTGATCGTAAACAAGTTTTTATCCGTTTCGCCGGGAGGATGCAAAACCCTGAGGAGACCGGTGGTAAGATAATCACTGTAATCGAAGAGGGTCAAGCCCGGATTGAAACCGCTGGCAATGTGTTCTGCAATCCGGTGCAAGAGTTCAACCGGGATCTGAGCATCTCTGGGCTGAACGCGTTCAGTCGCGTTTATGCCAAAGAAAAAGAAAAGCCTGGTAAAATCAAAGACAATATACCAATTGTCCTCAAAAAGGAGGAGTATCGATTTGAGGCCGGCAAGAAATATGAGAATGGGTTGAGTATTCTTGAAGCTCTCTCAGCCACTGGCTTGAGGAGCATTCGCTATGCTAAAGAAGTGGAAGGAATCAATAAGATTATTGCAAATGATGTCAGCTCAGTAGCTGTGGAGAATATCAAGAAAAATATTGATAGTAATGGTGTCACAGACTTTGTCTCTGCTAGTTTAAATGATGCAACGTGAGTTCTATTTATTAAAAAACAAATGATTGTGGCTTAAGATTTGATTAATTTATAGGACACTTATGTATGCTCATAAAAATGATAGATTTGATGTGATTGACTTGGATCCTTATGGCAGTCCAACAATATTTCTTGACAGTGCTGTTCAGGCAATTAAAGATGGTGGATTATTACTTGTAACTGCCACAGACATGGCAGTTCTCGCCGGTAATACGCCCGAAACTTGTTACGTTAAGTATGGAGCGGTTTCACTGCGGACTCAGTCTTGTCATGAGATGGTAATAGCTCAAATACAATTAAGAATCTCTTCTGATATGTTGTTGATTGCAGGCATTACGTATTCTTCTGCAAACTATCGAAAGTTTTGCAAACCGGTATGGACGCTACATAGTGCCCCAGTTATCCATATCAGCCGATTTTTATATTCGTGTCTTCGTAAGGGTGTACACTGGTGCTTACAAGTGTAAATTCACGACGAGGTAGTATCAATGACAAATCTGTTTTGAAACGTTTGTTTTGAACATTTATTTTCTTAGTAAACTAGCCATGGTTCACTGCTGCACCGGATGCGATAGTTTCAATTTGCAACCGTTGGGTAAGATTAAAACTAACGAAAAAAACGGTTTACCCAAGTTTTCGTTGCCAACCACTATCCCATCTGTGGGGAGCGTATGCGAACATTGCCAGCATCCATATCATGTAAGTTGTTAAAATGTGTAATGATGATTGGTCGTTAATAATACGTTGATACCAGATGGGTGGTCCGATCTGGGCGGCACCTATACATAATCCCGAGTTTGTGTGGCAAATATACCAACACACCTCTGATAAACTACGTACCTATAAGCGCATTGAAGGAATGCTCAATGTGGTCCTTGAAGAGCTTCACGATACGCCGCTTCATTATAATCTGGATCGTTTGACTGGTGTCCTGCACGCTGAGACGCCTCCGATTATGGTTGTACGGTACTGTAGTTGATTCTTTATTTTATTTTAAATACTAACTCAGTTTGTGTGTATTCTCTGCCCAGTTCGGCTCTTTTAAATGCCGGTTATCGAGTGTCATATACTCACACCAAGAAAACCTCGATTAAAACGAACGCACCTGCAAAGGTGCTGTGGGATATCATGAGGCAATGGATCAAGACACATCCGGTGTCACAGAAGTGGTTGGACCAAGACAAAGTCACCGCCAATATTCTTGCGCAGGTCTGCGAGACTGAATACTCGTTTAAAATGCATCCCGATGCCGAACCGAACTCGCGCCGTCAGGGGTACACGCGTTTTCAACAGAACCCCACCGCATTTTGGGGTCCCGGTTGTAGAGCTACTGCGATGGTTGGCGACCAAGGGTTAGCTAAGAGTAAAAGAAATCAGGGCAAGAGGAAGCGCAAGGTATCTACTAAGAGCGAGGAGTCATCGACCGGCAATCCCGGCGCTGACTAAGATTTTTTATTACTTTATTACTAAGTATTTAAATTTTATATCTAGCCATGTTCAGATTCTAATATTTCTATTGTTACTATAAATTGGAAAGACCTTTGTCTGCGTTCCAGGACTAGAAATTACAATCCTTGAATTTCGCCGTGGACTGAGACTATTTTGATGACTAAGTATTTAAGTTTTATATTTACTTGTGTTCAAATTGTAATATTGCTATTGTTACTGTAAAATGGGAAGTGCCTTGCCTGCCTTCTTGATCTGGGAGTTGCAAACCTAGGATTGTGGCACTCCTGAAAGGCATGGTTAGAAATTTTGTTCGTTTTATAATTACGTACCGAATCGAATAAAAAATATTCTTGATGTTAAGTATGTGATCACTTTTGCAAAGTTTTCTGTGTACATAAGTCGTTTATTTGGCGTTTGTTATTGTAACTAAAAAGTCACTCTGACACGTGAATATTTACAAATTTCTCTGCGTGTGATTTATTTCGTAAAATGACTACTGTGCAAAATAATATTATAACATTTGTGATCACATGCGCGGATGGTTCCTGCCTGTGCAAAATTGTGAACAACCATATCTTCCCCATTCCCAGCATCGTGCACACTCTGTCCTGGAGGCAAGAGGGAAGCACGCTGACCAAACAAGTATTGTTCACAGAATTTTGAATTACAATTAACTAATTTATTTATTTAAGGTGTGTGGACTGGATTTAACCACGTTCAATTTGCACAGGTGGTTTAAAATTCTTATCCCATCCGACACAAACAATAGCTATATCACTAGCTTTATCTTCAAAACGAGACTCGTCGTCGAACAGAAGCGCAAATGCAAACTTGCAGCTGGTTACGCATGGATCTATCCCAATGATATGGTCAAACACCAATCCAATGCTACCATTGGCAGTACTGTACTTCTAGATTTTTTCCCACGTACCAAAGATCTCATAAACTATAAAAACTACTCCGATGAGCTATGGGAGGTTGGTATTATGATTGAGGTGACAGCAGGTTCTTTACTTTGGAAGAATTATGCTCCAGCGGAACAGCACGTAAATGGGTCTGTTATCATTCCGGTTCAAAATGCAATTTTCCACGATTTCTACAGCTCATGTCTGCCCAGCATTCTTATGTCAAAATTTCATTTCATGGCTTTCATGAAGAAGTTTGCCATATCAGATAGTTGGCTCGCACACTTGTTTCGGGCCGCCGATTTGCAAGACCTGGGATTTCTTTCCTATCGCGATATAGCCAAGATCTTAGTATTGATAGATCCCGAAACGGAACACGCAAAGCAAGCTGCAGAAATGCGTAAAAAGTATCTCTTTCAAATGTTTGATAGGGACCGAGATTCATTTTTGGTCAAAGACGACCTGGAAGCTCTGATTGAACTTGTCAGACAACCAAATGATTTTGATATTCGGACTTGTCTCATGTAAGACTATTTGCGGTTAATTTCTCTTTCTTTTTCCGAAACCTTTCAACAATTTTTAGTGCTATGAAAATGAACCAATCTGGTAAAAAAATGGCTTTTGAGGACTTCACGAAGAGCATCGATACGTTGCTTCCAGCGGGTCTTTCAGCATGTATGCGAGCATGCAGGACTTGTCGTTCGATTTATGCTGACGCAAAATCACCGAGTGGGAAAACTATAACGGATTCCACAATAAATTTCGGAGCTCGTAATTTTTACCACCTATTAATTGTTAAATTCAATAATGGATTACTTGCATTTAAGGATATCGCATGCAGTTGGAGAAACGGAAGGAGTTCATCATCAGTTCGCATACATTACACGTTATGAAAAGCAAAAATATCATCAACATTGTAAACGTGTGGAACTTAAAAGGTACGGTAAATGGTGATAAAGGTGACTTTATTAGACAATTAACATTATTTTGGTTTGTTTAGATATCTGCAGTTACGATACATTGAGGCAAGCAGGTATCACTAAAGATTTGCGCAAGTTTTCCTGTGAAATCAACTCGCCAGCTCTGATATTCAACGAACAACTCACCAACCTACGATATTTGACTCATTTGAATAAAATTAACGTAGGAAAAGGAGTCTCGTACGCAGAAGACTTTGAATGGGGTTCTCTTGATGCTACTGCATTTGGTAACAGATTGATTAAAATTTGCGCATCTACCAAGAAATTACTCATGGATGAGGCTCGGCTATTGGAACTGAAAGCTCCTGTTTATGTTATCGGTGAGTTAAACACAGACTAGGATATTATTCAAATTTTAAATAATAGGCTCTGTACATGGAAACATATCCGACTTAACTTCGTTCGAAAAAATTCTGTGGCCAAGAACTCCGGGACATTCGCCCGGATCCATTTTATTTCTCGGGAGTTACGTGGATCGGTCGCCGTTTGGAATTGAAGTTGTGACTCTTTTGTTCTGTTACAAGTGTATGTTTCCGAAAAAGATGTATTTACTCAGAGGAAGTCATGAGTTGCGCAAGGTACAAATAAAGGACTGCTTTCGAAGGTGAGCAATAATGAGATAATCTTAGGCAGTACGCTGCATTATTATTGTATTCTATCAGAGAGTGCCTGCAAAAGTTCGGCTCTACTTTGGGATTCCAAGTGTGGGACGCAGTGAATGAAGCGTTTGATTGTTTACCGGTGGCGGCCGTGGTGGATGACAAAATACTCTGTGTGCACAGTGGTATTCCGCAACCCATTGTCTGCACGCTGACAAAATTCTTTAATAATGTACCTTGTCCTTTGAGTGATCCGGAGAAAACATGCGAACTGGTCTGGGAGTTGTTGTGGAATGAGCCAGGGCTCAAGTAAGTTCAAATCTAATTTGCATAAAAATTATTATGTATTAATATATAATTGTATAGAAAAGATGCTGCAAACTCAAATGAGGTGGATGGATTTATGAGGAATGCGAAACGAGGCACTGGTTATAGGTTTTGTTGCGACGCTTTAGAAACATTCCTGGAGACTAACTTCTATACGCATTTGATACGATCAAATGAACCAATTCCATGTGGGTATTCGGTATGTGTACAAAAGTCTTGGTTTGCATTATTTTATTAATAGTGTTCCGTTTCACAAAGTTAACTAAGATTGTTTTAGATTGCGGATAATGGACATGTGATAACAGTGTTTTCCTCATCGTATTACAACAATGATGCTGGATGTCTCATACTCGACCGAGGGCAAATTCGTGTTATTCGTTTAGGCACTAATCAATATTAGAACACAGGTAGCGATTTATCCGATTTATTTAAATTTATTGTACAATGTATTGCACATTATATTGCTCATTATACTGAACATTATATTGCACAATCTGAGGAGAGGTATGATATACTGGTTGCCTATGTTGAGGCATTAAATTCGCAAAATCCGATTGAGGTATGAACCGTTAGACGGTGCTAGTGTACATCACGGCGCAGGTAAATTCAAAGGTGTGTAGCCAGTACGCCAAGCGCGGCGCAGCGACGAGCGTGTCACAGTGGTTTTGTGAGTCGGTCTGTTACCGCGCGGCGCAACAGGCAGGCAGCGAGACGCTACACCGGCAGGCAGCACCGCCGCCGACACTTTGTCCCCGAGGCGCAGCAAACCACGCGGCGCGAGCGCGACATCGGTCGTGATCAGCGGCTCACCGAGCACATAGCGACGAGCGTCCATCGCGCCCAGACCGCGCTCGACCGCCTTCAACCGCCGCGCGTACGCCTAGCCCGCCTAGTTTTTCGCCGCGCCGGTTGGGTCAGTGACTCAACGCGACGTGTTATGGTGCGTTGGTGTGCGTTGTCTTGAGACTCGAAAGACCACCACCAGCTCCTTCGCATTGTGAGAGCGTCCAGCGAGCACGCTTCGAGAGTGCCGCCGCCCTGCAAATCGCCCGCCGAGGTAAACAAACATTTTATTCCTTGCTTGTCATCAATTCGCAACGTGTTCGCGTTTGCCGATTGTTTGTTTGTTTGCTTAACAGCACAACAACCATGCTCCTTCTAAACCAGTAATACCATCCTCATTTTTTTAGGCGCTGCATCAACGACAACGTGCTGCCTCTTCCGAGATTGCAACATGTTTAAATTCATTAAGCCTAAAGGACCGCACGTCACGGTCGAGCGGCAAAAGCTGCAGAAGGAGCTGTTCTCATATCGCAGAGTAAGTTTTCTTTCTGTATAGTATATATCACGGACAATCGCGCACCTCTCATTTACCTGTTATCATTGAGTCAATTTGCCCTTAATTCAACAGTATCAAGCTAAATAAATACCTATTATCTTGGCACAAACCAATCCATGAAAACTTTTAAGTAAATTACTCTCGAAATATTCGAGTACATTTCACAATATCATAACACAATAATATACTAGGTCTCAATGTGATAACACGACTCCAGCAATGATTCAGTCTCCATATCTATAGCATCATGTTGGGTGTTTTTGATGAATAATACACCGTTTGGCTGTACTTTTACCTGCCCGCACGAAGCTTTGAACTAAGAGTGCAATCTTTGTGTAAATAACTGATAGGTGTTATCTAATCAGTGCCGAAGCAATTATCCCGCTTGCCACACCTGTGCTCAAATTAAAAAGCGCTTCAGACGAGGAAAGTAGAAGAAAAATAGGACACAGCATGAGGATAGTTGAGAACATGAATCAAGCATGTTGATACACTTGATTTCGGCTGATACCGCACAGGTTGATGTGCATTGTATTTGTTGCTAGCCTATTTTTCGCTTACAGTTTGGCAACAGGTTTGTTGATTGCTTGATAACGATTCAATTTCAAATTTAGCCGAGGTATATTTCGCGTTCTTGTACATTCAGAGAGAATTTCAAATTCATTTAATACAGTAGTTTGCAACGTGGAAACAAGGACAATCACAAGATTATGATGTCATTCACATTACAATGAATAGGCGCCTGCAATCTTGAGAAAATTTTTATTAAATTGTCTGTTGTGTTGTCGATGTACAGGGTAGAGCATTAGGCAAACATAACATGAATATAAACAATGTTTTTCTTACCTGAAAAGCTCTAGTTGAAGTCATAGAGGACAATTTTGTAAGAATACGTTGAGATGAGCTTCAGAGTCAAGTGCGGTGAAAGGCCGTTATACCTATACCTTTCATAATCGTGTGCATGTACATCGAAGCATGCAAATGAGCATTATATCACTTGGACACTCGTGGACACTCAAGTTTGGCCGAAGAGAGAGGCAAACACAACACGTACATAAGTTCATGATCAGTGTTTGAAGGTGCAAATGGTTCACATAGTATTCATAGGGGAGACAGATAAAAGAAATTGTGAATATTCTGATTATTTCATAGTAATTTCAACATCCAGATGAGTAATCATTTTATTGATTCGTTTATCGCGCACCAAGTTATAAATACTTAAAGTTCGCTAGTGTAAATAACGCTATTATTAATTTAGATTGGTTTGTCACTTTTCTAAAATAGTGTTTCAATTAATAATTCGTAGACTTTTACTTGAAATCCGTTCTATTTTCGTCTATTTCGGAGGTTATGTTATCACATTTAGTTGATATTTTCTTTCATGAACGATATGAACTGCTATCCTTCTTTGATTACAACAATAACAAAAAAGTATAATCTAACCACCCTGTATATGTGTATTTATATTAAACATTATTCAATACCGGACTGTTACGCACAAGCTATGTTTGATTGACGCTAGTTTCACGCGGAATTTGTTCTAATTGATGTTTATGACATGAACGATTTTAATTCCAGTTCTCTACTGGTTGCATCTGATGAATGCATTTTCAATTGACCATTATTGATAGTATCCCAATTGATTGAAAATCTTGCCTGCACCTAAATAAAGAAATATCGCGCGATTTCCGTATAATGACTGAACGATTCGATGATTAATACACGCGTCAGGGTCAAAGCCAAAGAGAGAAACGTGATTGTCGTGCTAATGCGTAAATGGCACGCGGGCGATCGACTGCCGAACGGCAAATAAAACTATTCCAACTCGTAAATGATTGTGGAATAAATGCTTCGAAGAACAAACAATTCACAACGCACGCCATTCGTCACTTGCCCGAATCTACTACACAGAATCTGAACACGCGTATGCATTAATCAACGAGTACCTGCCTATGCGACTACACTTGAAAGGGGTACAAAGGTATAATTTTGACTTAAAGAGTCTGTCGAGTTTTAAGAGTTTTAGTCAACGTCGAACAAACGTTTGACGTTACTTAATAAGGAAGCAATTATAACGAGATTACTTCAGATTGTAACCCGCGTTTCAAGTCTGTGTCTCTTTTTTTTTGTTTGATTTTAAGTTTTAACTGGAGTTTTAAGTTGAAGAAAAAGAAAGTACATGTGATTAAATGATGCAGTAATATTCACGTGCGTGTGTGTGTGTGTTGAACGCAGCATGATCTAATGAATAATTTAACTTTTACCACGCCGCGCACTTCTGGGTCGTGTGCGCTAGCGCAACGTGCTCGAAAAGAAATTAAATCGCGTTTTTATTGCCGTCAATCTTCATCTACAGTTAGGTTAGGTTATTACATTATTATTACGATTTGAGGAATGCATCGCTTTACAGCGACACAAGTACAGGAATAAAAAGCTCGTTGATTCTCGAATGAAAACGTAGGAACACACATCTTCACACTCCTCCTCTCTTCTCGCTTTTGACGCGCTCGCTTTACACAATGCCAACAAGAGAAGTAAGAAAGTCATGCATGCGGCTTGTGCATATAGAATTCATGCGAGGTGTAATTCAAACTGTAATATTTACTGAGGCGGTTGTCTTGCTTTGTAAATTAACGTCTCAAATCGCGAAGACAAACAGCGCCGAGTTTGTTCGGTTTATCGGTGTCGATGAGATGATGCTGGTCAATTCTTATGCATGTCGGTGGTGAGAAGACGCGAGACGGATCGCAGTTGGTCGATGTGTGTGAAGATTTGAATAGATTTCGCGTTACATTCGACGAATCGACGGCGAAAAAATTCTTTGCAGACCGCATTCCATGATAGATAGATACTACAGCATGTAAATGTGGCGTGTCCATTGTTGGCCGTGGCGTTCTTCGGTTGCGCTACGGCAGCCAGTCATTCTCTCTGGCGCTGTGAGGCATGTCGTTTTTGTTAGATTCGTGCAATAATTGTTGCTGGAAGCGACTGCGCGTATATACACCTATGTATCCATTGGGTTTTTTGCAAGTGGAATTCATTATTTTATGTTAGAAATTATCGGCTGCAGTTATCAGTTTATTTCAAATACATAGTAGATATTCGATCAATTAATACTGAAAACAATGTTAAGTTTGAAGTTTGTTCATGTACTATACTAGTCGTGATAATGGTCAATTGGCATGCCATCGATTGAGTGCGATTGATGAATGAAAATTAAAAGGTATATTTAGCGCGGACGTACTCGTTCGTACTCATACAGTGTGAAATAATCACTTAACACGTTAAGGACGGCGTGTACCACCGGTGGTACACACGCGTCTGGTCTGTGGGACGGCGTGTACCACCGGTGGTACACGGCTCATTTGAAACGAGACTTATTCATTTTTGACTACACCACTGGTTAGGTTATATCTTCTCCTCGTTTCACCTATACAATCAGGGCCTTGCATCTTTGTCATCAAATGTGTCACTCAGATTACATATTATAATAAATAGTGATCGACAAAAGTTTCAGTTTTGGCTTCAAATTTGGTTTCGGCCAAAATTGGCTGAAACTTTTGGCAGAACCGAAACTCAGTGTTCGTGAATTATCGTGCGTCGTTCGGCTAACTCGCGGCTAAGTCGTGGTGGTCACTTGCCATCTCAGTTCGCACATAGTTTCGGTCGGACTCTAAAGATAAAGGCATTCATTACAAAGAAAATAAATAAATGGCGACGCAACTGCAAAAACAATCGCTTTTTGATACAGCAATGCATAACCACCAGTGGCGCACAGCTGAATTAATTAGACGGAGTTGAAAATGCTCAAACGCCGCCCGATGCGACAGACACCCAAAAACCGCGCCGTCCTCAACGTGTTAACGGCAATAGCTTGTCATCAGCACAGGCATAATATTTCACTGCCTGGGCCCTAGGCAGTAAAATGAAAATATAGCGCAGGTGGAAATAATTACCAAAATTGCTCGATGAAGAATTTTAACTCCTATTTTTTTTTAACATATATTAAACACTATCTTTGGATCAGATGGTACAATTATTACAGTTTTTCTGTCTAGTTCTATATTTGTAAACTGAATGTTGAATTAAATTTTACTGCTGCTTGCTTGTGCTTTCGTTCGGGAGAATTTCAATAAAAAGTAAGCGAATCTGCCGACTCTGATGCACTTTAGCATCATCTCGGTTTGAATTATATAACTATAATAATGATAATGATGGCATCTCCCTATCACTCCATTTAAGCTATTCAATAACTTTATGCAAGTTATATTTTTACGATAAAAAGTACCTATCCTACTTGCGTTTTCCTTTGTCAAAAATATCTTTGTAACGAAATTCATCAAAATTTATTCAGTAATTTTTGAGCGAAAGCGTCACAAATAAACAATTAAACGGCACATTCGCATGTATAATATTGGTTAGTATTAAATTTTGTATTTTGTAGTTTATGTAACCAGAAACTTGGTATAGATCTGTTAGTGATCTTTGTTTTCTATCCATTATGACAGGTTTTTTCGCTAGCAGTTTTCGCTTGATTAATTTGGGAACATATTTATATTTCAAATTCTATCTTCTATATTTTAAAACAACTTAACTGCAATTTTAAGCATGAATGTGTTGCAAATATAGTTTACATTAAAATATTACTCCCGAGTTTGTAGTAAATGTTATTAAGTGCAGAAAATATAATACTATACTTTATACAACATGATCTGCACAGTTTTCCACGTATAATATTTTAATGTAGGTATTTACGAGGTTTGCACCAATACACGCAATTTTATTGCTATCGTGAAAATATAATGCATGCAATAACTGACCAAATATGCGTTAATGACTATTTTACAGTTTGGTTGATGATGAAAAAAACTATTGCGCACATTCACCATAACACTTTATAACCTTTAATTAACACAGCAATCTTTTGTTAAGATATTCAACTCTCGAATATCAAAGTTTGCGGTTTTGACCTATCCTTGGTGTTAATTGAAAGTTTAAAGCATCATTGGATGTGCCGGAATTTGACGCAATCGGAGCATTCATACATAGCATACATAACGGGTTTAATTGATACTCAATTGCGACGCCGGTTTGATTGCAGCTCCTGCCATCCGCTGAGATTGGAGGAGCTGGTCGGTAAATTAAGCGCGTTTTCAAAATGATACGCACGCATATTGAACTCTATCCAATAGGCATAGGTTTCATAGGTTTACCGAGAGATTGCATGTTTCAATTTTCAATTCGCTCTGTGGCGCGTCGCCTCTTGAGACGATAACGCGTCCGATAAGCGCTTTTATTCAAACAAGCGCGTAGGCGAATCAACGTGAATTACCTGCGGTACCTCTAAATATAGCGCGGTAAAAACTGCTCAACGTACGCGGAGATTTTATTTTATACACACACAGGTCTAAATTACCATCAGTAGTTTACAGGATTTTGTTGCTTTCTCATATGTTATGCTGGGCGAAGCTGCTAGTTTTTACCAAATTAAAGTATTGACTTCAATTAACTTCAATTGTAATATTTTAAAGGGCAAGTTTGGCTCTATAGCACATTGAAGTGCAAATTGTGCGGTTCTATGATTTGGGTTATGAGTTGTAAAAAACATGACAAAAATATTTGGACCTCAGCCACTACAATTTGACTTTCTTCGGATATGAAAATTCTAAAAGAAATCTCAAAATTGTTTCTAAATCTTGCACAACGTTGACAATTGAATTGTCTGAACATTGTAAACAACCCCCTTGTACCTGTTCTTGCCGCGAATTGCAGATAGAATTTATTTCGATTTGATGCATATCCGCATTCTGCCCAAAAGAATTAGAATTTTTGGTGGATGGATTTGCGGCCAGTGTGACTCTGACTCACATGACGCAGCGTAGTCCGGCCAAGTCGAAAAATATCCAATATTGATTCTGCTGATGTAATCTCAACGAAAAAATACGTACTACAATTCTTGACGAAATATGAATATTAATCAACGAAAATAACAACTATTGCAACTCGGTATGAGCTTAGGAACAGCCTTTAAAACGCAAGAAGTCCAAATTTTGCATAATTCTCGAAATATTTTTTTTTAGAAAACTATAGTGTAACACACTGTGGAATATGTGACTCTACGGAGTTGATAGGCATTCAACATGAATGTTCAAAGACATCTGAATCATCAACAATTTGATATTTTTAATATTCTGCATGAAATATAAGGAAAGTTTTCTGGTTTTGTAGTTGTTTTAGCGGTTCTACTGTTTAAGTCGTAATTAGACAGCAGGTCGTCGCAACTACATTTACATAATGACGCGCCATTCATAAAGGAAATATTAAAAGGTTTTTCATGTATTATCATGCGCGTACTCGCTGAGTTATTATTTATCAGTGAGCAAAATACCCACACCTCGTGCACACTTCAAGGAGTGTTGGAGATGCTGATTATCTTTATCGCCGTGATATCATCATGCGACTTATTAATGCGTGATTACTTTGCACGCCTTAGTCAGGTCATAAGTGTTTGTTTTTAATCAATAAAGTACAAGTCATTCATTCATTCGTCGAAGAACTTTTTGTGTCCTAAACAATTTGTAATGTTTTGCGATGACATTTTTTCCATAGACGCTTCAGCATGGCTTTCCAAACAAGCCCACTGCCATGGCGTGGGATCCAACCCTGCGCCTGTTGTGTGTGGGTACAGCATCAGGGGCCATCAAGGTTTTTGGAAAACCGGGCGTGGAGTTCTATGGCCAGCACGCGGATAACGTAGCTGTTACAAAGATCACCTTCCTGCCGAATGCGGGACGAGTTGTTTCGCTCTGCGAAGACAATTCATTGCACCTATGGGAAGTGAATAAGAACTCCTTGGTGCAGGTGAAGAGTCATTCTATGGAGGGCAAGTTGAAGCAGATTAGCGCGCTTTGTGTTGATAGCAAAGCCGAAAATCTACTTCTCGGCACGGAAGGTGGCAATATTTACGTCCTGGAGTTGAATTCGTTTGTGATGTCGCAGGAGATTATTTACCAGGATGTGGTGCTACAAAATGCTTCACATAAATTAAATCCGGGAGCCGTGGAGGTACTTGCCGAACGACCTGGCGAACCCGATCATCTTCTGATTGCTTACAATCGTGGACTTGTCGTTCTCCTCAATCGTAAAGACTTTAGCGTGGAGAAGAAATATACACCCAGTCAACAGCTGGAGTCTGTTTACTGGCATCGTGATGGTCAATCCTTTACTACCTCACACAATGACGGTTCGCACACCACGTGGCATGTCGATCACGAGAACCCCGTCGCTGGACCCACCACTGATTATGGTCCATTTGCTTGCAAGGCTATCTTGAAGATCGAACGGTACGAGTTGAAGGGCGAGCCGTTGATTGTCTTCAGTGGTGGTCTGCCTCGTGCGAATTACGGCGAGAGGTTCAACGTCACTGTAATGAATGGCGACAAGCACGTCGCGTTTGAATTTACCAGCAAAGTGATTGATTTTGTGGTGATTACCGCTGCCGACAAGGACGACTCGGATGGAGAAGCAAATGGGGATGTTGCCGCTGGGGACCCCGAGGCGTTGATTGTCCTCGCTGAGGAGGAGCTCGTCGCCATCGACTTGCAATCAGACGACTGGCTTATGATGAACTTGCCCTATATGGTACCTGTGCATGCGTCTGCGATCACCTGCAGCCAGTATGTGTCCGGTGTGCCTGACGACCTTTGGAATCAATTGAAGGACGCTGGCAAAGCGCAAACCAAGCATCTGTATTCGTCGCGAGCATGGCCGATCGACGGTGGTGAGTTGTTATGTTCGAAAGGGGAGCAACCTCGCCGAGAGATGCTTCTCACAGGCCACGAGGACGGCACTGTGCGATTCTGGGACGCAGGGACGGTCAACCTCACGCCCATTTATAAATTCAGCACGTCACAGTTTTTCACCGGCGAGGACATGCATGGTATGTCGTAACCTTTTCTATAACTGTTCTAAAAATATTATATTAATACTATTCTGGTTGTTGTAAATAGATGAAGATTTAAACAACGAAGATGAAGAAGATTGGCCTCCGTTCAAGAAAATTGGAGTCTTTGATCCATACACCGATGATCCTCGATTTGCAGTCAAGCGTGTTGTGCTGTGTCCACTTTCCGGCACGCTGGTCGTGGCGGGCACCGCAGGTCATGTGGTGGTAGCCAAATTCGACACCGAGATGTTGATGGAAGAAGTGAGGATCAGCACAATGAACCTCGTCGGCGAACGCGACAGCTTTGTGTGGAAGGGTCACAGTGAGCTAGCACCGCGCAAGGGTGAAATAACACAGAAACGTGGTTTCCAGGCGACAAGCATATTACAGATTTATCCACCAGCGGCAGTGACCTGTTGTACACTGCATGCTGATTGGGGACTGGTAGCGGCGGGCACTTCCCATGGCCTGGCATTATACGACTACGTCAAGCATAAACCTGTGACTGTGAAGTGTACTTTGAATCCGAATGGTTGGTTACAACTTAAAAATATCCGTCTTAAAATGTTAATATATCAAATTTGGTTTTTCTAGACTTGAATGGAGCTGGGGATGCACCTATTTCACGACGTAAGTCTTTCAAGAAGTCGCTGCGCGAGTCCTTCCGTCGTCTGCGCAAGGGACGTTCACAACGGCGTACTAGTAACACCACGACAAATACCACCACGTCCCCGCCAGTTCGACGTCTGCCGGCGAGCACTGATGAACCTAGCAATCCACTGGAGGCCAAGCCAGTGGAACGGCAGATTGAGGCGCGTACAACAGATGACGGCATGGGCTCCATTGTACGCTGTTTATACTTTGCGAGGACTTTCTTAATCAACGGTGAGTTGCATTAATTTTTATATTTTACACAACATATATTGTTGTTTTTTGTTTTATGTAGTACAAAACACAGTACCAACCTTATGGGCAGGCACGAACGCCGGTGCTGTCTATGTCTTCACAATAAACGTGCCCTCCGGCTCTAAGCGTAATACGGACGACGTCACCTGCCAGCTGGGTAAAGAGATACAGCTGAAACATCGCGCGCCAGTTATTGCCATCGCAGTACTCGACAGCAGTAGCCGGCCACTGCCGGAGCCTTTGGAAGTAGAGAAGGGCATCTCGCCATTGCCGGAGACCACTCAACCGCATCGAGTTATCATTGCCTCCGAAGAACAGTTCAAGATTTTCACACTGCCAGCGCTGAAACCCTTCGGAAAGTACAAGTTAACTGCGCACGAAGGCGCCAGAGTTCGTCGCATGTCGTTCGCGAACTTCTCCTGTAACTTGCCAGACAGCAACGACGTCCACAACGAGGTGGATTTGCTGTGTCTGACGAATATTGGCGATTGCTTCGTGCTTACCTTACCCGATCTCAAGCGGCAATTGAATGCGGTTGTCGTGAGGAAGGAAGACATAAAGTAAGTAAAACGGCTTGTCTCATTTCTCTCATCATATAATCGTGTTTTATGCATTTTAGTGGAATATCTTCTTTAATCTTTACGAAAGAAGCCGAAGCGTTGTATCTGCACTCATCTTCAGAGTTGCAGCGATTGTCGCTCGCTACGCGACGAGTCACCTCGGCGAGGTGCTACCTTTCCTTGCCCGAGGCGGTGAAGGAGGAGCCCGAGGCCGAAACGCCTTCAGAGATTGACGAAGTAGACGAGGAAAGGGAGAAGGAGGCACCGCTCGTCAATGGCAATTCTATCGACAGCAAAGAGAACAGTGTGGGCGACAAGGTGTGTTGAGGTTCATTTTCATAATTCATAAAAATCAAATGCAAATCAAAACACTTAGAATGTCCATCACGAGCGACACATATTCATAATATATTGTACGTCATAAGGGGTAACAGGGTAGTCACTATAGCTTTAATATTTTATCATTCAAATGCAGAGGAGCGAATTGAAGTTTAACTTACTAACTTATTTGGAAATGTAATACGCAAAGATTGATGATCACATTATAGAGTTTGTATCTTTTCAAACCTTGCGGTTTTGACTAATGTATTTCTACGCAACGGCGGCGATTTGTAAGCACCTTAGAGTAGAGTATATGGGGGATTCAGACGTCTCCGTCAGGCAAATGTAAGTAAAAACTACCCGAACGCCACAACAAACGTCTCTAAACAAAACCAAGCCAAATAAATACTGTTAAACTGTACTAAAACGTGCAACTCATGCTAAAAATTGTATAGTCCTCTATCTCTGCCGGTGAAGCGTTTGTTGTATGACGTACTCTAATTGTTGCACACCCTGAACGCTTGTATGACGTCACTATGATTCTGTTTTCGTTCTGTTAACTCCACTGCTCGTTACAATGCCATATTTAAATGTGTCCCCCTAACTGTACGCTTTTAATCCTCCGGCGCGCGATAATCGCCCTGTTTGCATCAAATGAGATAATCAAAATTATTTTGTGCCATAGATGGAGAACGGGGAGACGGACACGATTCATAATTCAACTATGAACTCAACTATGACGAGCAGCATTGGCGACATCACCATCGACAGCGTCAAGGACCACATCAACGCACATGACGATTTGAACGCACGCATGTCGGGCATTACCATCACCAAGACGACGATCACAACGAGCATGCTCAACCAGAGCGGGGAGGTCGTCACGAACACCACTACCACGACAACTACGACGGAGCATCCCGATGATGGTGAGTTTCTTCTACAGCATTGCTATCACATGCCGTTGAAATCAAAATCACTTGTGTACTGATCGTACTTTATTGGCTGTTCTCCGTCGGTGATTTGTTGTGTTTGTTGTTTTCATTTGATTTGCGCTTCTTTTGTAGTTGAGAATAATGAGACGGACGCACTTGATGTTGAGCCGGGAGCAGTCGAGGTTAGACAGTTGTGACTTTTTTATTAGTGCATCTTAGTTAGTTTCACAGTAGTGCATCTAATCGTAGCTGTTTTTGTCACTTGTAAATATAATTTATTAAAATGGACTAGCGACGAATGACTCATACTCACACAGTTTATGATATCTATTTTATTTCTAAACTTTTACTATATTAACATTTTAATCATAAAACGATTTAATAAAAAGGCGGGACATTGAAACTGCAAATTCTTTAAACACTTAACGGAAATAATTGTTATTTTGTTTCGATAATTTCTTGGCTGAGTTAATGCTAATTACGAAGATTGTTTACGCGCAGTTCTAAAATCCAGTTGTCAGTGTTTTAATATGATTTAGTATCATTGGTAGCAGGCACAAAAGCACACTTGTACGACTTTGTAATCGCGAAAAAGGAAACCTGTGCTGGTTTATTTGCATAGTCCTGCGCGTGTTTGAATCGTAGGGGGGACGACAAATAAATGAACAAAAATTTAAATTAGCATTTCACTTCGTAGGCAATTCAGTAAATGCATAATTCATTTGCCACACTTGTAGAAAAATAGACAATTTAAAAGAAATACATCTTTCAGTTATGCTTAATTTTAAAGTATCTTAAACACAAGTAGTTTCAATGCCCTCGCGTGTACATTATTTTAATTAGTGTTTCTCTCGTGTTTTAATAGGTATGCCTGTACCAATTTGATAAATGTCTGTTGCAGATTAGAAGCCTGCAGGCAAATAGTCATGGAGTAAAAGCACCGCTGGCATTGTCCGAAGATCTCGAAGCTGAGAGTGGGTAACCAATTGAACAATGATGAAATTCCCCGGATACATACCCTCTAGGTATACATCGCACACGCATCAACATCAACTTCCCGAGCAACGCCTCGAACACCACGAGACGCATACAAATTCTTTGCCATATCAATTATTTAATACTTAAGCAAATTATGGGAACATGTGTGGATAGTTAGATTACGCTTAACTAACTGAAAGCTAGCAAAACCACATTCGATCTACTTAAAACACCTTCTTTATTTAGGGAAACCTTCGTTTTTAGATTAATTAGTCGATGAAAAAGTTTATTACACTTTAATTTACATGAGTTTAATTAATACTACAACAAGTAGCATAGGGCTAAGTATGATGGTAGCTTGCTAGGGTCATCTATTTTCCTAACAAATCGCAATTGTAACTTTTATATGACTTACTTATAGGCGCCTCAACTTTCTGCATCTGCAGCTACACGATACGATACACTAATAATATTTATACAATTTTTATACATACTTACCGATGATATATAAGATTTACACTGTTCTAGTGTACAAATTGCGGTTGATATGTGATCGAAGTTGATGCTGTGTCACAACTCCGTTCAACTATTGCTGGCGAATAACGATGGCGGTGATAATTATGATTGCAAGGCAGCTGAACGCAGGTACTAACTAAACTATACAAGTGTCGTTTTAATATTAAGACGCTGCAATTTTATTCGATAAGTAAACCCGTTTCACGTAATGCAAAAAAAAACGAACGCAGGTAATTTTTGTGCGTTCATGTTTAGTCTACCCCCCCCCACACATGACATGTCATGGCTTTCAATTTCAACACTTATTTCGCGGTGGAGGTTTTAGTTTTTCGTTTATATGCATATAATTTTTATTTTATATAATTGTATTCGTTTGTTGTCGTGATCAAGTTGATTTCGGTTTTTTTCAAGCTCTAAAATTGAAATTTTGAAGTATTGAAAATTGATACACATACTTAATGACCGAACTTATGTATGATGAAACTTATGGCCTTATAATATTATCGAAATGATATAAGAGATGATTACTTACAATGATAATGTTTTAACTATTCGTTAACTATTTTACATGGATGCATTTTTATATTATATATATTTAGCGTTTTTTATCCACGATTTTTTAATTATTACTTGAATAAAATATATTTATACACTATGCAATCATTCCATAGCATTTAATAAGCAAATCGTTTTCAAGAAATTATCACGCAATACCATTGTGCCTTCCTGTTTGTTAACTAACATGATAGATTTGTGTATATTGGGTTGTCTGACAATTTTGAGTGAAAGTCAAACTAATTTTAAATTAGTAAATACATATTCGTGTTTCCTGCCGAACATTATCTGCAAGTTCTCCAAATTATATTTGGAGTGCTATTTGTATCGATAAATGCGACTAAAAAGCATAAGCCTCCGATTACATTTTTATTCGTAGGTTTAGTTGCATATCTTATCATGTTTATTCTAGCATGCAAGCATTTTTGTACGGGAAATCCGATCGGACTATCAGCTTCCCTGGTAACAATCCAAGTTTACTAATTAATTGTCGCAGAGTGATGTATAAATAACGCCTTGTGATTATCATTACTTTCTTTGTTGATAAATAACCTTCGGGTCGAGCGGATTCGTGCGAGTCCGTTGGCGTTCGCGCACCGGATGTCTTTGACGTTCGGACTTGACACTGGCAGGCACGGCCAGTCAGTCGAGTGTGAGTCGAGTCCGAGCGATGTCGCAGTCGTAGCACCTCGCTGCGTTCACGTTTGTGTGTGTCGCCTCCGTGAAACAGTGCACAGTATCAGCGCTACACAGCTCGCACATACCCAGATCAAACATTCGGCCATTTACATCCGCCACATTTCATCGCCGCTGCGCGGAGTTCATCGCCGTAGCGCGTCTTGAAGGATTGCACTCCGGTGGTGACACACGTACGGCGATCGCACACAATCACAGACCCATACACATCTACACGCGCGCGCGAGCGCTGGCTGATTATAATATGGCCGCCCGTGTGTAGTGCACTGCACTTCGTGCTCGCGTCGCATTTTGTCGTTCCGCCGCCAGCCCGCCCGCCGCCATCGAGGAAGCTCGTGCCAAGATGGAACTGCGTGTCGGCAACAAGTATCGCCTCGGGCGCAAGATTGGCTCCGGCTCTTTCGGAGACATTTACCTAGGTATGTTATTGTTCTCACTCCGCCCGTGTGTGTGTCAGTGTGTGTGCGCGCATCCCTGCGTGTTCGCACTCCGCACGCGGAAAACACACTTTTCCTGCGGATCCATTGAAACATAGCGCGTGGCCTTTTGTCGCGTGCGATTAACGACGATGTTTTTTTTGTACTGATTTGCAATTTTTCAGGCACCAACATCTCTACTGGAGAGGAGGTCGCCATCAAATTAGAATGCATTCAGACCAGGCATCCTCAGCTACACATTGAGTCAAAATTCTACAAAATGATGCAAGGAGGAGGTAAATATTATAAGCATTGGTCCAATTTTTGTGTGAATTATGTGTGTTGAAATCCTAACCGACTTTTTCTGTTAACTTGTAGTTGGCATCCCACAAATCAAGTGGTGTGGTTCTGAGGGCGATTACAACGTGATGGTGATGGAGTTGTTGGGCCCATCACTTGAGGACCTTTTCAACTTCTGCTCGCGCCGCTTCTCTCTTAAGACGGTGCTACTGCTTGCTGACCAACTCATCTCGCGCACTGACTTTATCCATTCGCGCAGTTTCATTCACCGTGACATCAAGCCCGACAACTTCCTGATGGGGCTTGGCAAGAAGGGCAACCTGGTGTACATCATCGACTTTGGCCTTGCCAAAAAATACCGCGATGGGCGAACACACCAGCACATACCCTACAGAGAAAACAAGAACCTAACCGGTGAGTAAGCAATCTTTTCGTGAATATGTTATCGTCAGCCTTGTCACGGTGACATTCCCGTTGCGTCCGATAAGCTTCTGCATAATTAGTTGCTAAATGCGGGCCTCGAATTCTATCAATTTTATCAGGCGATTGTTTGTTCGACGCGCTCATGTTGTTGTTGTTGTCACGAAACGTGAGCGCGAGGTGCACAATGAGCAACGTGATTGCATCGGTAGAGGGTATAGAGTTGCTGTTTTTTCCGTTGCGTCTGTCCGTGACATGATGCCAATGCAGACTTCAAAGTCGGAATACCCTTTGAAAGGGCAAGCGTAAACGCCTTTTGATTCTGGCGACCTAGTGCTGTAACGTTTTCAAAACAATGACACTCGGTGGTGTTTTAATTAGTTGTTTATTTTGTTCATATCGTGTTTGTTTACTTAACTAGCTGTGTCGAGAGTGGATTCTCTAGACTGGGTTAGGCTGCCAGTGGATGTTTTGTTTTGCGCGGCTGTATGAATTTTTTTTAGTAGGCTGCACTTTCATTTTTCAAGCGACAGCGTAGCGTTTTTTACGATGGTCCGCACGCGATCCACTTTTCTTCTTTTATTGCTGGATTTCTTCGATAGCTGTTGCGCGCGCGCGGTATTATACCGTGCGCGCCTTGCGAAATGCAATTAGTCCGTCGTTCTTTAGCGCGCGACCAGCGTTTTGTTTTTACGGTCCTATTGCCGCCGCCCGCAATGTGCGCGCTTTGAAATGAACGCATCGTACCGCGCGTTGTTTGAAGTTCAGTTTCCGTAAATGTGATCAACTAGGCCATGCGCGCCAGCCGCGATTTAATTCCAATTTCATTTTCGTCGGGGGCGCATTTGCGTCGACCGCTTCGACGAAGAGTGTGTCATCGCGGTGTGACGAATATCCACACTTCTGCAAACTAGTACATATGCACATCGTCGTTCGGGTTGTTATTCCTAGATCAGATTGCATATTATAATAAAGCCGGCTGTGTCATTGATTACCAATTTTATTTATAAACAATGACAGGTTTGATTGCTACGCGATTTATTCAGCTGATTGCGGTTTTGTTTCGAATATTATAAATTAGAATATTCACTTATAGTTATCATAAACAATTATCCTGCGAGTTATAGCCTCGTGAATGGTATTATGATAATGAATGCTTTGTTTGTTTACCGTTGTTATAACAACACATGCGTAATTGAGACGATCAATTACGGTTTGATTTCGGAAAAGCCAGCATTTCCAAAAACACTTCATTGATAAAATTGTTTCTTTGAGTTTGATATTTTGGTTAAAAATTTGTTGCTTGAAGTTGTTTCGTGTATCATGTTGCGCAATTATAGTTAGATATGAGGCTTAACGAATATCAGTTTAATCATATGACAAATTGTTCAGTAATGTGAAACACTTCAATCACCAATTCCTGGACAATAGGAATGTAAATATAATTCGGCTTCGCTTATAAATGTGCGCATAAACTTATCTGCGCACGCATATTTCTAAATTCCGATATTGAATTTATGGCAATTGTTTGTATGTATAAAAAAGACATTGAGTAAGTCAATTTTGCGGATTAGATTATGTTCAGTAGATAATCTTAAAATCCGCATGAGAAAATAAAAATTTGCTGTTTTTTTAGTCAATCTACGAAAATTGCCAAAACATTTGCGGAATATTTCCAAATGGTTACAGGCAAAACTGTTTAAAAATGTATTTTAAGTTCATTTTGCAACCTTAATCATTTAAACCTCTAATAACGAATGCTTTTTGAAAAGCTCTTCATGTACGCACTCTGTAGACGACGCAACTTTAAAGCTTCATTGTGTTTATGAACATAATGAACTTTGTTGGAACTCCATTGGCTTACAGCAATTTCATTATTGGTTTGAATATCATGCATGAATTTACAAAAAACCGAGTTTAGTGAAGTTATTTGGAAAACAAATATCTAATTATTTACTATAATTTGGCACGAAAAGCAAAAATTTAATCGTTCGTATGTACAATTGCATTGATTTGAGTTTGATAATACATGTTGACTCTCAATATAAACAGCAATATGCTTTGTGTACTGTAACTTTTTTAATATCAAATATCGAAGTTTGTAACAAAACTTCTGAAGCAGATTACATCAATGGATATTTACTTTCATAAGAACAAAATCACATATTTGCGTTATTCACGTTATCACGTCATTTCCTGCTGAAATCGATGGAATACCAGCGTTGTTGTCTTGTATCCCACTATTTAAAAACCACTGTTGATTTGTTTGTTTGTTTTAGGCACTGCCCGTTACGCTAGCATTAACACACATTTAGGCATAGAACAGTCGCGCCGCGACGACCTCGAATCGTTAGGATACGTACTTATGTATTTCAATCGGGGCTCCTTACCCTGGCAGGGCTTGAAAGCTGCGACCAAACGACAGAAGTATGAACGGATTTCCGAAAAGAAGATGTCGACCCCTATCGAGGATCTGTGTAAAGTAAGGATGCAACTTATAGGAGGCATGATTAATTTGACTGTAATTGTGTGCTAATGGTGTGTGCGCTTTTAGGGCTACCCGGCTGAATTCCCTACATACTTAACATATTGTAGACAGTTACGGTTCGAAGAACGACCTGACTATAGTTATCTGCGGCAACTCTTCCGGACGCTGTTTCACCGACAGGGTTTCACGTACGACTACGTGTTTGACTGGAACATGCTGAAGTTTGGTAAGTACCCCCCGTACACGTCACTGTAGGTTCACTCTTTTATATGCGAACTCATGCAATAATCTCTTTTTGAATAAGATATGAGCTCACGCATGCATGCTAAAGAAGTCATGATTGCTCCACTGCCGGAACGACGCCAAAATCATTATCATTTACTACTGACATCTACAAGATTTTTCCTACTTTTTGCTTGTGTTTGGTGTTTAATTATGCTGTATACGTTTTAGGAGTATCTAGGAGTGGCCACGGGGAGGAAGGCGGCCGCTCAGGCTCGCGGCCCTCTGCTCCTCAGACCCGAGCACGTCGAACACCTCATGAGCGCGAAGGTTTGCTGTCTAACAATGCGGCTGTGCCCAGTCCCTCTGACGAAGTCATCACCAACAGCAGTATGTTGAATAGTTCACTGGATTATGAACGTCACGTTTGTCATTTTACCATCCCTTTGCAGATACGCGCCTGTTTGAGAGTTACGACCGCCGCATCTCGATGCGTTTGCGCGGAGTGCAGCAGGGGGCGCCGAACGCGTCCACCTCCGACCTCTCCAATTCGAAGCAGGCCAAGTGAGTTGCATTTCTGTTCGTTATGTATGTAATTCGACGTGCGATCCAAGCAAACACCGCCTGCTATCGCTGCTAACTTAAACCGCAATCGCCCGTCAATGCGACACACCCATCATCACCAATGCAACAACCACAACACACCACGGTCTCAGATGCCGGAAGTTATCCGGTGCGAGCATCGTCTCGTCAGCGCGCTCGCCACGTCCGCGGGCGTAGACTTTATTTGTATTTTTACAATTTTATGTTAACGTTGCGTTGCGCCTGGCTTTTCGCTCGCTCGTGCCTTTTTAATTTTGGTTCGGCTATTGTTTGTTTTTTGATTGTTTCGTACGATTGTTTCATCCGCGCGCGCCCCCGTGGCAACATATTTCGCGTGTGCATCGCGGTGTGGGCAAATGGGAGACCTATGTATGATGTTTATTTGTTTTGGAAGCGCCTCCGGAGTGGCAATGGCGCCGCCCAGCCAGACGGCGGGTCAGCCAGGCCCGCCTAGACGCGGCAGCACGTCGAAGGAGACGCCCGCGCGGCTCAAAAAGTAGTCGCCGCGCTGCCCTCACCACCTGCCTGCCGCCTGGCCACCTCTGGGGATGGTGCGGCGGGGGAGCTGCCACACTTTATACACACATACATTAATATTAGCGTGCAATCTGTAAGCGTTGAATGTGAGACCACGGACGGGAAGCGCCACCAATTTTACGTTTAGTATGCTAGCTAGCGCCAAACTGCGATACTGCATTGACTCGAGTGATTTGAGAGGTGGGCGGAGTATTTCCCCCCACGTGTACTGGTGTTTGTGAACAAATTTACTTAGGTAGTCGTGGTTTTTTTTTCTTACTCGTGTTTTCTGGGCATGCACAATGCACGCGAGTGGCGATTCACTACGGCGACGTGTCTTTAATTTTTGGTTTGTGTCTTTTTGTTGCTAAAATATCAAAAAACTGTAAAGATGATTTGGAATCGTAGCGGCGGTGCGCAACACTGGCGTTGTGATAACATGTGCAGCATGTTTTTGGAACATGCAAGAATGTTTTTAATTTCGTTTTTCCTTTTTTTGTTGTTGATAAAATATCGAAAGCTGTTTGAAAATGACTTACACTCGAGAAACGTCGGCGCGCTACCCCGACTTCCAAGATGAACACGTTTTGTAATATGTTCGAATTGCGTTTCGTGAACTTATTAGTGATAATTGAATTATTTAGTATTAAAGTTGAATGTATCAAATTGAACTACATGTACAGTGTCTTTTTCGACTGCGTTTATAAACTTGAGTTGATCTTCGCCGCGACGTTACGTTCATTGATGTCGTAAATACGGCTTGCGCCCGTCCTCGTCGACCAGGAGGCGGCGCCAATCCAATACTCGTGATCACTGACTAAACTAACGATTAATAAGAAGTAATGGAAGACTAGTTAGGGACTACACTCTAGTATATGAAATGTTTTAGTTGAATACGCATAAACGATACGTTAACTGATTGGTTGGTTGCATATGGTTAATTAATACTTGTTAAACTACAGACTTACTTAACGTTAACTCTTGGTGTTCATATAAAAAATTGCTTTTAATTTATTCTCAAATCGCATAGGTTCCTAAAAGAAAGTTTCAAACAAAAGCCAGTTGCAAACTGATCGAATCGCGTAAATCGAAATTGAAAACAAATGGGAAAATGAAACTTGACAATTGACTGAGATGACACAACATTTGTGAGACAAACTGTCGTTTTACAAGGCATCAAAATCATTTTTGTATCAACATTTTTTTAACGCAGCACTTGAAACTTTAAAGCAATCACTGGACGAGAGCATAATTATTACTTTAATTGATAAATTACTATACATTATTGTTCTAGGTATATTGAAACGAAAATTTAATTACTAAACGCTAAAAACTAAAAGGAATGTAAAAAACAGAACACACAAATTTCAAAAAGGGTGCAACATAAACGGGCCACTATTTATTATTTTGACACTCGCCGATCGGCGAGGATATCATTATCATTAAGCCTAGGGTAGGCTATAGCAGGTTACTTATGTTTTAATTGTATTTTGTAAACGATAGTAGTCGGAGGCAAGTCCAGGTCCAGATGCTACGAAGACTGTCTAAATTTTAGCCGCCCGCGCGCGACCTACCAGTAAATGAACTTGCAACGGTTTTTGTATTGTTGTGACTTTGGTTCGTGGCAAAATAACTGGTGTTCCATTTATTTCGCACCCGGGTTCGTTAATGTAAGATGCGAATGTGAAATATGGGATTCGTGTGAATGTGCGGCGTGCGTGGCATAATCTCATTGTCGATGTGAGCGACAGTTCGTGCGCATGCATCACGCATGGATCACTCATAAAAGAAGGCAATTTAATTTTATTTCTTTTTGTAAATATAGTATGTAATGTACTTTTAAATTTATATAAAAATAAATATACTGGATGTTCCAGGAAATCACTACACACACTACGTCTCAAACCATCCATATTCTGTTTTATTTTATTTCGAATGTTCGTCGTTATTTGTGTTTCTTTCTTTGCAAGCAACTGATTTACATGTATTTTAACTACCTGTTCAATGTCTACCGTATTCTTCAACAAAATGTACAACACCTAACCATCTCATTCAGTGGCTGCAGTAACCGTCTCATCTTGTTCTAAACAAATTTACTAATATTTGTTATTTTTTAGCAAAGACCCTGCTCCCGACGTGGCTGAGATAACTGACACATGCGAATCAATTCGTATTTGAACTTTCCTGATGTTCCCAAAGCTCCCAGCAAACACCATCCATGTTATTTTGTTTTAGGATTGGATGCACTTTTTGAGTGTGCGCTTGTTACCACCTTTACAACCTTGTTTGTTCATACTACCTCTTTTGCCCCTGTATTTTTTTCTGTAGTTCTCTAATTCACGAGGGACTAGACTCTATTGCGTTTTTGAAACGATGAAATTTTGTGCCTAAGGCAACGCGGAATAACGCGTCGAATTTATATCTATGTTTCAAAAACAATTTATGTAAAACTTTATACGCTATTTACAATTACATATACACAATAAAACTTTATTTACAGTTCTTGTCATGAAATTTGTCTGTATTTAGTTCGGCGGGGAAACGATAAATATAAATTTTAATTGTTGTCTCTGTATTATTAATTTCTAGTTTAAAATTCCGTGTTGAGTTACAAATTTTATTTTCCACATATTTCGTCTAATTGGAATCTTTAATTTTGAAGAACATTGAAGATGAAGATGCGAAACATGTCGAAAATATAAATATAATTTGTAACGTAACACGTAATTTAAAAATTGATATTAATATATATATATATATTACATGAACAAAATTAAAATCAGTCATGTATTAGTTTGGGCACAATATTACCAAGGAGACTATGGTACTATTACTTAATAACTACAACTCCTGTGTAACGCGGCTACACGACGTAAACTTTTAAAAATCCTACTCCAACAGGACTGACGCCTCGCGTAAGTTCGTTTTGTGTGGCGCACTGTTCGTATTCCAATTCCTGCAGAATTATTGCGCGTGCGCCATGCCTGGGAAGTGCGCAGAAGTAGTGGGACCGCGAGACATCACTCGTTATGGTTGTTTTGAGCAGTTGCGTGCGAACGTCTCGGTGATGTGGGTAGTTGCTGAGCAGCGGTCGTGATACAAATGCGTCAACCAAATTGTTAGTGACACGGCACTGAGATTTACGTGCACAGTGAGTACCCCAACAAGCCGAGTAAAGATATTTAGCTCCGTCACCCCAGTGCGATGGCATCACAGGCGAACGCACGTGGCGTCTCGCGCGTCCTGGAGAAGCTTGAGAACTCGGTGAAAAACGGCAAGTACTACGAGGCGCATCAGATGTATCGGACGATGTATTTTCGGTGAGTCTTGTTTCAGCGAACGCGCGCTGTATTGACAACCACTGACCGTACAGGCTTTTACAGGTATCTCAGCCAAGAGAAGTTCACCGAGCTGATGGATATGCTCTACAACGGCGCGATATTATTTCTAGACCACGATCAGGTGTGCCCCGCTTGAATGCTTTTAAAGGGATGTATACACGTCAAGCATGCATGTTCAAGCATATGCACAAGCATACTAATGTTATCAGTTTAAAACTTGCACATGTTGTGATGTTTTTTTTAATGGAAATCATTTATTATAATTACATTTGATGTAAAAAATATTACCAAAATAGCATTTTACTGCTAAGATGAGATAACATCTTGTTGCATTGTGTGCTAATGATCTTGTAAAGGTGGGCTAAATTTAAGAGAATTGCATGTGGGATATAGCCGCATTGTGGCGAAGGGATGCTGCAGTTATTGTCCTTTGTACTGGGTCTTCCTCAAATCTGTTTTTAAATTTATAATTTATGTTAATAATGAAAAATCAACATAATTCCTTAATATTTGTACATTCTTTAATGTGACCATATCTATAGAGAATTAATTAAATATGTTTTTAGCACATCAGTGGGGCAGATTTAGGAATTCTCTTGGTGCAAGTCCTAACTCAGGCTAACAACAAAGACTACAAGACGTGGATACCGAAACTGTGCTCGATATTTGCCAAGATAAGCACGAACACACCCGAACGTGATACTTTCCTAGGAAACGCAATTCGTTGGTCGTCTGCAAATGCATTGCAGGGTCATCCACAATTACATCAGGTAATAAAAAAAATCGCCGACATCATTTTTCGATTCTGACACCCACACATTGTCCCATTTCAGAATGTAGCCCAAATATATTGGAACGAGAAAAATTATCACCAAGCGCGCTATCATTATCTGCACTCGAAGGATGGACAAGGGTGTGCTAAGCTGTTGATAGAGTTCCAGATGACGCAAGGCTACGGCAGTGAAGTGGACCTATTCATCGCACAGACCGTTTTCCAGTTCTTGTGCATGCGTAATGAACGCACCGCGAACCTGACCTTCGCCTCGTACACAGCGGCTCATCCTGGCATAAAACGCAGCGGGCCCCCGTACCTACTGCCGCTGTTGAACTTTTTGTGGTTTCTGTTGAAGGCTATTGAAAGCAAGAAGCTGGCTACGTTTGTCGTGCTCTGCCAGCAATACGAGGTGTCTATTAAGCGCGACCCCTGCTACAAGCAGTACCTCGATAAGATCGGACAGATTTTCTTCGATGTGAAGCCGCCGCCACAACACAGCAATCATTTCTTCGGCAATTTTTTGCAGTCGTTCCTTGGTGGCCTTGATGACGACAGCGACGATGAGGCGGGCGCGTCGTTTAGGCCCTCGGCCTCCTCCAGTAGGAGACCCGTTGAGACCGCCGAGCTGGATTAGCCGCCGCGTCATCTACACACTTTACACATAATCTATTTCACCATGGGCGATGTCGCCGACTAAATAATTAACATTGGGTGCGGTCCAATGCTTACTTTTCGGTTTTCACACGAACACACGATTCACAGACGAAGTATTTAGCCATTTTCATACATCCAAACTAAAAACAACGGAAGTTTAAACGATTGTTCAAAATACGGACGTGAATGATTTTTTCATAGGTGCAAAAGCGTCATTCAAAGACGATCCAAATAAATTTGTCATTCTTTATTAGTACTTTAATGTTATGTACATAATGTGTTGCTTTTATGTTAATATGCGATCGTAGGGACGAACGTCAGGGCGACGTATTTCAACGCGTCAAACGTGCGTGACTGTTTAAGCCATTCTGTTTGGTATAAACTAATTTCAATTTAATCAGTATGGGCAATAAACAAATGAATATTGTTACAAGACTCTTCGATTACCCCGTCAGGCCCAAGGCGATCTATGCTTGTTCCGGCAGGGGAACTTCTCGCTGACAGGTGATCCGCTGCCTAAAGAGTTGCACAAGCATAGCCCATTGCGACTACGACAAGCTGGGACAGAACTTCAACGCGTTTCTGCACGACCAGAAAAAACGTAGTCGAAATACCAGCATTTCTTAGAGAGTTTAAACAAATTTTTTGTGGAATTGCGATGGTGTATGAGTGTTTTATAGTTTTACTTTTCATATTATTAAATAATATTTTTAAAACTTTCGCCACTTGCCATTGCGGAGAGCTTCGAATGTAGTCTACAACTTCCCGGGGGTTGAAATTGAAGATAACGTACATTTTATGATTTACGCACGATGATTTTTTCATATGGATTTAAACATGCGTCCAAACTGTGTTTGATTGGCCGGGTATTTGTATGTAGCAAATGTAGAAAATTGAAATTGTGATCATTCAATTCTTCTCTCTACATTATGTTTATTGTATTACACCTACATATCTGAATATTTCGTTACAAAATTTACACGCTTGTCGGTTTTCGTTGTGTACGAGTATAATAGTATATTAAGTATCAAGTGGCTAAACGGCGGTTTTAGTCGCGAGATTGATTGAGAGTGTTTAATGCTCAGGCGCAAGCTCCGCCCCGTGAGTAAAGTACTTTTTGTGTCTAAACCCCTTAGAAAAACGCTTTTTTCAGTCAGCTCTTTTTTGCGCGAGGCTTGGCATTTTTCTTTTATTAATTTCGATTAAATTAATTGCATTACATTTTATCGATTAATATCAGCAGTATACAACAGATGAGCTACAGTGTTGCAATTTGTGGCGCATATAGAGGAACGTGGGAGAGAATGGGCCCCCAAATTTTTTTACAAAAAAAGTATTTGGTAGGTAAAATGGACTGCCTAGTCTGTAAAAACCAGCGATTATTTTAAACCAGTGGTTTGCAAAATTTTTGTATTATAGAAATGATAAAAAAAATTACATTATAAGAAATGTATTAGATCACAAGAAAATTGAGTTAAGGAAATATTTAGTTTTTTGGGGGCTCCATTTTGCCCAACTTTTCTCAACTTTTTTATTTTTTAATAGAAAATTAAGACCAAATACTTGATAATGGACTAAAAACAAAACAAAAACAATTAAAAAAACGGAATATTAAAGCATTTTCTCTTAAGGAGTCCATTTTGTCCAACGCTCCCCTATATAACTACTGAATGGATTTTGATTAAATTTTACAATAATATCCCTACTAATATTATAAATGCGAAAGTCTTGATGTTTGTTACACTTTCACGCAAAAACTACTTAGCCGATCATCATGAAAATTTGTACACATATTCTTAGTGGTCCCCGAATGGTTATAGACTACTTTTTATTTAATAAAAAAAATTATTTTTTAAATAAAATAAAGAAATTGTTTAGCTAATAATACCTCTGCATCTGGCTATTTGACTACTTTAACGCCATCTAGCATTCCAGCAATGAAGCTCAAATCTAAGTACTATAGTACCATCACACTGTATTATCACACTGTATTACCAACAGCTACGTCAACATCAAATCCAATTGACTACACTATGGAGACTGTACACTATACTGCCATAGGCTATACTTTCAGCTATTTTAAACTTCCCGCCATACTACTTCATTGTTACTTCTTCTGTGACTACAGACGCGTACGGAAGCAACTTCATTATTTTAGATATTCGCGAGCGAAGCCGCGGGTTGGTTAAAGCTAGTAGCTTATAAATCGGAGTTACACTCAGGCTATAATTTATATTAAGCATCAAGTGGCTAAACGGGGCTTTACTCACGAGATTGATTGAGAGCGAGTGTACCGAGCGTTTCAGCAATCGAGTGCTTAACAACGTTAAACAAATACTTATGTACAGTAGAGTCCGGTTATAATGACATCGAAGGGAATTGACAAACACGTCATAATAAGCGGACGTCATACAAAGCGTTTTGTGAAATGAAATCCCTTTTTTATGTAAATATGTACATATACATACATATTAAATCAAAATCAAAATTGCACGTAATCAGCACATTATAACACATACAAGTGTATTTTTTACTGCAAGAAATCTGTAATTTTTGTCTGCTTTTGTTTTTTCATTTAATTAATTTTCTTGTGATTTTCGAAGCCTCTTCGGTTTCAAAACATTTGAATTGAACGATTGCTTAATGCGGTTCTTGTTTTTTAAAAAGCATTGAGATTGTCGAATGACCCACGCCAAATTCGGATTAATGGAAAATACGGATTAAGTCGTGGTCAAGGTGCTGCTGCCCGAATGCTTATATTTATTATTTAAGCATTTGGTCTTTCCGATAGTAAATACATAAAAGTAATTTGACAATCATAAAAGAAATGTAGCAATAAATATAAAAAGTTCGCCACGTGTCGAACGTCGTCGGGTATCAACGAACATTACCGGACGTGTAAAGAATCATGTTGGTCATTATAACCGGACATAATCTATTAAAAATGGGTCATAATAAGCGACATGTCACTGTAAGCGAAGTCATTATATCCGACTTTTTTATACAGAATTTTATATGAAAACCAAACTTAGTAGTGTAGGTACGTCATAATAACCGGTTGGTCAATATAAGCGGAGTCATAATAAACGGATTCTACTGTATTTTAAATCATCGAAATTTGCGCGCACACTACTACAAAATTAGGGTTAAAATACAATTATTCGCGCCGCTCTGACACGAGCAGCAGCAGCTTCTGCTTTGACGTGTTTGGCTGACGTTGCATGGCATTTCATACGGTCTTGTGCTGCTCCGTAGGCAAATGCACAGACGCAAGCTCCGTCCCGTAGATAATGCTCGTAGATAATGGATATTACTCACGGCTTGGCCCTCCGTATATAAAGTACCACTTTTTGTGTCTAAAAACCGTGGAAAAACGTACGCTTTATAGGGGGAAGTAGAAAAAAATATTGTGAAAATCATTCTGTTGTACTCATGTTGAACAGCGTGATTCATGTACTTGGCTAATGTTTGTCTAAAAAATTCACATTTGCGCTAGCAGGAAATTAAAAATATCCTATATATTATATAGTATAGATCCATTCATACTATTTTTTATAACAAAAATATTTTTTAATTAATAACCATTAAAAAGAGAAGAAGAACTTATCACTTTCAAGTGCGTCATAATATAGAATTATTTCTTAAATACTCACCTTAAAACCTATATCCTTTAAACTACGAAAGATGACAAGAAGTGCCATAAATTGAATTTTTACGATTTTTTTACGATCTTTTTATTAGAAAAGGTGTAATAGCTCACAGCAATCCGTACGATTAACACCTAATATCGATATTATTGTTTAATGTTATTTTGATTGACAGTGATTTACATACAGAGTTATTTATACATTTATGTATCTATTTATGATAAAGAATCAGACAAATCACATCAACTTCATTTTTCGCATCAACAATGTCAACATTTAAAAACATTAAACTGTAAACATGAAAAATATACGCGATGCAAATGGAACGATTACAAACACACAATTGACGTTGCAGTTATACGTAGCATTCGCCACGAATTCGACGCATGAAAATCGGTTCGGAATCTTCGTCCTGAAATTGAAAATTTCGACTTTTTGCGCCAACCTTCGACGAATTTCTTACCGGCAAATATTTTGTCGCAGCGGCGTCGTTTGTCCGATTTACGCCGCCCTCTTTGCATGTCAACCAGTATGTATCCATGGGACCTTTGCCCTTTAAATGTTATAATATTTTATTAAGTCCACAACTAAGTGAGAATAGAAAACATACTTTTACATCAACCAATCCTCGATGTTGCGTCTTGAAACCTCCAACTGCATCCAAAGCTTTTTTGAATTCTAAACTGATATGTATTTTGGATGCTGTAAAGCATGAAAAATATACCACATCCAGATAGTTAATAATGTAATCTATTTGAAAACACACCTTCTCCAGTGGACTCCATCCGAGAAGCAGTGTTTACAGTATCGCCAAAGAGACAGTACCGCGGCATCTTCGATCCAACGATGCCAGCGACAACGGGTCCAGTATGAGCCCCGCTACGAATCTGCAGTAGTTCTGACTTACGATGGGGAATCTTGAATTGTGCAGAGGCGGCTAGAAGGTCCAACGCCATAGAAGCAATCTCGGAAACGTGTTGGTTGCCATTTTTTACAGCCAATCCAGATGCCACCATATACGAGTCGCCAATAGTCTCCACTTTGTATACGTCATAGCATTCAATGCGAGCGTCGAAAAGTTTGTAGATTTTGTTGAGGAATGTGACAACTTCCAACGGTGTGCTCACTGCAGCAATCTCGGTGAAGCCTACAATGTCGCTAAAATACACGGTTACAGAGGCGTAGTACTCTGCAGGAACCTGTTGAGTTTGCTTGAGCTGAACAGCCACGCTCAAGGGAAGCATTTGGAAGAGAAGCGTGTCGGACTTACGCTTTTCGCGTTTTAATTCCTTTGCTTTACTTGCTAAATTTGCTGCGTAAAGCTGCAGAAAAAGCATTAAGTCAATAAACTAAAACAAAAAAAATGAAATGTTTACCTGTATAGTTGAAACAGCGTTCTGCACCAACCAAATTATTACAGGCGAGACGGCCAGAACAACAACAAGAATTGCAATACCAATTGCCTCCTTGCTAGCCGCATCATGTAAATTTGCCGTGACGTAATCCCTGCTCAGCGAGAGAATTAAAACTGATGCAGATCAATGATCATTAATTAATTGCCAGCAAAATTACCTAATCTTGTGTCGCAACTCTCGTTGCAATTTTCGTAACTCGTCAGTATAATGCGCGATTGAATCGAAGTAGTCAATTGCCTCAGTGATATTTGGATCTCTCTGAATGTTCTGTATAATAATATCACCTCTACTCAAAGAATTATCATTAAATTCACATTAACAACAGAGTGTGAGTCGTACCTTCTTTTGATGGTACCATAATTGCTCATGGAGTTGGTCAGCTGACGGTAGACTCCTTTCAGCATAGGCACGTAGTTGAGCGAGCCGTTCAGGAGATCCTTAGCAACGGCATCATGATGAATATAGTGCACATAGCTGTTACTGACAAGCCATCCCCGTCCAAAATAGTTTACGCCATAGACGCTGGCAATGCCGGTGGATTCTATACTCCTAAGAAGGTTCTTAAAGGCGAGAAGATACCTCCACACACCGCTGCTGTCCGTTTCTTTGATCTGGTTGGTAAGGTGATCCAGCAAAGCGGCATTTACCGATGTGTACCAATTGAGCACTTCGGTCATGCTGCTTTCTTCGGAGGATATGCGTTGCCTGACACGTGCAAAATAAATATAATCAAACGAATACTCTTGTTTCATAAAAATTGGAATAATTTGTCTGGTCTAGAATATCGATGTGTTCTTATTACGCGCGGGAATTAATTAATAAATGATTACTGGTAGGCTACTGACGAGTCGGTTAACTTCAATCAACAGGCCTTGAGCTACCATTATCCTTTATTACGCGAATAGTTTCATCGTACCTAAGTACATGTAGCAATATCTACGTGCTGTTATCTGCGACTGATCAAAACCCCAATAAGAATAACGACGACAATAACTATCGACGCATCTGGTGTGTCCATGGAAAGGGCTTAATTAATTTGCTTAATTAATTCGTGCGCGGAATCTAGGTCTGCGCTCATAAAATATGATATATTACCTGAACTCGCCAAGGCGAGTGAGAAAGGTGTCTTTGTCCAGCGGCGCCAAGCGACTCTCGGGCAGATAGATAGGCGGCCAGCTACTCACCGCCTCCAGCGATGCGTTCGTCAGTGCAAAACGCATTGTTAAATTCGATCTGCATATAACACACCCATACAAGTTTCCAATAAACAGTTTTACATTGTGATAATTAGGTTTACCTTAATTTGTTGCCATTGGTGTAAACAAAGAATGCCACCTCCGAGCGCTCCAGTTGCATTTGGGTGACCACCTTGCCCAAATTTGTTGCTTCAGTTACCTGGATTGAAGCAACGAGTTACATTACAAATTTCGATTAGCTTTTATGGAAATTGCCAAATGGATTAAAATTTGACCGCGCAAATTGCATTTCCGGTGTAAACACGATATCAAATTATGTGCAGAAGGCTAATGCGCTGAAATAAAGTGCAGTCGATTAACTGCTGAATGCTCGCTACTCGCCTCATACCTATGCGAATGAGAGTGTGCGCAGCGAGATTGTTTCATTACATGCATGAATACGGCCGTGGATAATGCGCCGGTGAACATGTGTCAGAAAGTCATGCAATCCCTGCTTAGAAAATTGGAGGCGGCGTTCTGGCACAAATTATATATGCATTAAAATCGGGAGGATTTGAAAACGCGTGGTGGTGGCGTTCAGTATGAATGTGTGAACACGAACACACGCGCATATGAACCCATCAACTTTGCCACAACGGTGGCATCGTCCGATTCCCATATGTTTTTTAATGTATATTTAAACATTGTTTATTAATTGCGGAGGTTTTCCGCCGTTACGACGGCGGCGGGTAGGAGATTTACGATGTTTGATCGCACGTCGGGTGGCCCGGCCTTAATGGTTTTTAATTGTGATCGAGAGCGCGCGCGACACGCCGATTCGAATTACTAGCAATAAATAGTAATGTAATGTTGGCGGTGAAATTTTTCCCTTGTACGATTGTCGTGGTCGGCGGCGCCCCCTTATTTTTCTTTGTTCCGCGGCGCAGGTAGCAATCGAACAATTAAACGAAGCACGAAATTTTCCGCTGCGTCTCTGTGAAGTAATTTATTTTCGCATGCGGACTTGCGCGTTGCATTCGATTTCGCCGACCCGAATTGGCTGTTTGCAAATCAATTTAAATGATAGACGCCACCCGACGCCGCACGCTTTAATTTATAAAAGTGTCGAGCGCAAATATCGTTATTTTTCAATTGGATCGTTCGCATTTTGTTTATGAGCCGATACAGGCGCAATTCCCGCCGTCATTCGCCACCCCGCTTGGTCTCTACGAAACCGGAAGCCAAGTGATTGCCGCGTCTCGTTACGTCCGCAATCGCCGATCGGACGACAAGAAATGTGATCTTAAATCGACGCAATTTGAAAGTGTGAAGTTACTCGATACCTGCGCGTCGATGCCTCGCACCTCCTGACGGTACAGCATGATGTTATGCAACGAGAAGGCAGTTTGCACGATGAGCGCACAGATCGGGATGAACGGGAGAACGAGCATTTGTAGCAGATGGAGACGGCGACCGCGTCCATGAGCCGGATTCGTCTTCGTGCAGCAATATTGGCCCGGCGGCGATGACACATCCTCCGAGCTCACCGAACGCAGCGAGTCATTATCTCGCACCAACGTGAGGTCTTCCTTTTTCATTTTTCACCTGTTCACAAGGAAATAAGAAATACCAATGATTATCAACACTTACAAATAGCAACAACAACAAAACAACTTTCGTGCTACGTAATTGGTCGCCCAATATATTATGAATCAAATATTAATAACATTAAAAATTAGATATAGACTGTAATTTGCTGATCATCGGATGAATGGCGCCATTAAATTCAAAGTGATGTGCTAATTTTGTTCTTTATTTATTATCTTTAAGAGTTAGATAATTGTAAATATTAAATGGGGGTATATTGAGCAATTTGTACGATTTTTTCGAATTGAAAGAAAGAATACTAACTATGATTGCGTTGTCAACTTTGATTGCTTATCAAATACCCTATTTATGTTTTAGTTCTAAGCTGCCATTCAGAAAAGTAATGGCTTTTTTTATTGGTAGGTATGTGGATGTATGTCCTTTCGAATTAAAATATATAAAACAGAATTTTGCTTAATTTACTCTTCTTATCGGCAAGTTCATCATTTGAAATGATACCTCTTTTAATTCTCTAAATTTTACAGTTTGACATGTTTCCAATTATTAGTAGCGAACATTGCAAAAGAAATAAGCGACTATTCTATTGTCATTCGCGTTTTCCCATCGCCCGATCATTGCGTTTCGTAAAACTTTTTAATTGAGTTTTCCTAATTAACGACTCTCGGCCGTCGGCTCTTAAACAAAGATTGCCACAATCATAAAAATCACGCATCTATTTCCGCGCGTGACCTGCTGTGATTTGCTTTGTTTCCAGCAAATAAACACTTCGAAGTGGCGACATGCCCTACGGATTTATCGGCGTGCACGACGGTATTACGTCGACTAATGGCACATTGTGTCTCGAAGAGTGCGCCAGGAGGTGATAAAAACGCAAGAAAATTCAATTAGTTCATTGAAGCGAGAAGACATCATTGGAACTTAAGTGCTAATTCCATAAGAAATTAAGAAATTTTATGTCTGCTGCAAAGTTTACGCGCGAATTGACGAAGACGGATTAAACCGGAAACTGATGCAGGCCGAACGTTGCAAGTTTAAATTAAGTTTGTAATTAGCCTGACGTGAATATCAGGAAAACGCAAACTTCAAGCAAACTGGGAACGTATGTTAAAAATAAAACAAGAGAAGAATGAATGAGGATTCGCAAACATTCAATTGTCATTACAAGGAACGAAATGCTAAGAAAAGAAAAACCTCCCTCGTTTAATGAAGGCGAATGAAGTGAAAACATACAAGTTATAAAGTCAAACAGCATTGGATACTTTTTCTACTTTGAGCCCCCACACAGTCTTGCATCAAATAACATGAATAACAAAAATGCGAAAGCGAGACCGAATACTTACAGTTGATTGCCTACTGCCCACAAATTTTAAATTACCCTTGGGAATATTAAAGACCGTTCGGTTTAGGGATGTTTATGAGTCAGGAACTCGCGTGATGTGCTATTAGACAATTTACAAACCAGCCTACACCTTAATTAACTTTTGCGGAACTTGTTGATTGCAGTGCGTAGCGAGCTGAACGCCGAGCGATGCTGCGATATTCGCGTTATCCTTCAGACTGCGGACGCAAATGAAACGAAACCACCCCTAGCGGTCGGCGACTCGATGCGATAGCGATCACGACGCATGGCAGACTCTACAGGATGTATTCGTACGCGTCGTGTACATTTAATTAAATTAATCAGACCTAACTTCTTGACGTTCTTAAAACATTGCGCATCTATACCCCAGGTATAATACCTTTGCGGATGAAATTATCCCACGATCCTATATTTTTGTCTAATATGAAGGAAGCAAATTGAGATATATACGAGTACATATAGTAAATACGTATATAAAACGTAATAAAAAAAAGTTGTAAATTCTCATTCGACGACGTTCCAGAATACTTTAATCATTCGAGTTTTCAGAACGGATATACAAATGTAAGGAAGGCATAAATATGAATTATTGGATATTATACGCATAAATAAAATCATCCACAAAATATGAAATATAGTGACAAATATATATACATACTGGAACCAGTGGGTAATTACTCAGTTAAATTGCATTTAATTGTAACTTCAATGATGTCCACAAGCATGCTTTCAAATCTGTTAATTTGTTTCCGGAATACAAGGAACATTTTTAATAAGAATTTCCGGAATTGATTACCTTTGAAAAGATTAAATACTTATATAATTGGCTTGATTGAATGATAACGACTCATTAATAAAAAAATAATAGTAAAATATTTTGGTCAAACTTAAAAACAGTTTTATTATTGTATTTCTTATTGTAGAAATATTTTATTTTATTTACACGTGGTAATGAATTTCAAGCAAAGTTTGCCCAAAGGGCATAGTCTAAAATCACGGATTAAGTATTTTTTTAAGAAATACCTATAAATCTATTTGCAGGGTTTTACAAAGACACAAACTTTTCCATTCAGCAATATGTTTCACTCTGCATGTCTAAAGTATGGAATACGTACTTGTTTTTAACAGTATCATCACATTCGTAAACCTAACATAATCTCATGTCTTTAACCCTTGAGTATATAATTTTTATGTAAACTTCTTTATCTATAGCTGTCTATAATGTGGCAATTTTAATGTGCCATCGACAAGTTCAACCTATTGAGCTATGGTTATTAGTTCAAGTTTGATTTCATCTAGCTGAACAGGTCGGTATGGCGAGGAAAAATTCAAATATTTTTAAGCACAGCCAAAATTGTTCACAATTCAGTCAACTCTCGGCGTTTCATGGAATCGGGGAAAAGCTACCAGATCTCTAAATTGCAGCTAGTTGTATATATACTCGTAATTATGTATGGCGATTCTTGCTATCTGAAACTCGATTACGTTTTTTGTATTGCTAATTTTGTTCTTTGTATTACCATCCAAAATGCCAACTTAGATCTATGTACATAGATAAACTGCGTTTTATCCTTATTGTTTTGCATCAGATCTTATCTCATTGATCAAGTAAGTTTCAAAGTTGTAACACTAAAGTTCCTTGTAGTTAAATACAAGAATATTCAGCAATTTATGAGTTTACTGAAGAAAGACAAACTCACCTTGGTTCATCCGTCAAGTTAATATATCAAAGCAGCATACGGGCTAAATGCAAAATGAAACCGATAAATAAAGGAATCAACATCCTTTAGCACATCCGAAGTAGAACATAGGGCTAGGACTGGTCTTTTTAGCTGCATCTAAAGGATACCTTAATAATTTCATAATACATATTTATATTTTAATGAATTGAGCTTTGATGTATACGTGTAAGGGATCAATATAATTCTATAATACTTGATAGACATGCAGCACTGACATATACAATGACTATTCATAATGGTTAATCAATTATTACAAATGTTTACCATATGTAAGCAAAGGTGAATTACATGATTTCAAAAACAATTATCAACAAACTACTTCATTACACAGCGCAAAATTCATTAGTAAATTCGTGAATTAAAAAACGTTTAAAACAATTGACAAAAATTTACATTTCGATTTCAAATGATAATGAACTAATTTATAAAACACTTATTTACATACAGTATCTATGATCTCTAATTTATTGAAAACGGTATTGATATTGCATTGCATGGACATTGTGATATATAAAAATACAAAATTTGGCGAATGTGTAGAACTTTTAGTTATCAAAATACACCTGTGATTGATTGTTTTCCATAGTTTCATTTCCTGATACACTTTTCCAACTGCTTATTGCAGGTAAAAAGACACGGGCTAGCGTGTCGTCTGATCAGCCATAAGTTGGTCATGATAATAGAGGCAGTAACGAAATGAATCAACAAGTGTTTACTGCCATCCAACTTTCTGTTACATGGCGCGTCATGCGTACGTATTAACTATTTCGGAAAAAAGTACCAATTACAGAGTTTGAATGATGCTGATTCTTTAATAACATAATAATATTGCTGATTAGGCAGTTGTGTTGATATAAATTGAAGTTTTATTGATTCATGCATCCCAAGAATGTGTACTAAATATTAACAAAAATCGTAGATGTTAAGTTTACAGAAATGTTTCAAAATGAAACTAACATAGTACAAATATAACGCATATGCTATACATATGGATGTTTATAAGTAATGATATTATACTGTAAAGTTTATATAAATATATAGACAGGTATGGAGATAACTTAAGATTTTGCTTTCTTTTTGGTGTAAAATGTTAGAGTATGACCGAAGTACCAAATTAATAAATTAGCATTAATAAATATGAAAATATATATTATAATAATAGTACCAGAAATTACGTGTGCGGTGGGGGCAATCCAAGGCGCATTTAGTACTCCCACTGAGTGGCATTCTCGATGGAAGTGTCACCTAGGCGGAAAAGCCCATTTTTGCTGGCAGTTAGATAGTTCCCGTTGATACTCTTGATACACAATCGAGTTGGTTCACGCAGCTCCAAATAGAAGCCTTCCTGAGTGTCGGAATCGGCAGTGACACCCTCGGAATCAACATGCCAGTATTTACCATTTTGGCCTATAAGAATCAAAAGCAAAGTTCAAATCAAAGAAACTTATTAGATAATAATTCAATATACCCTTAAAGAAAACGATGCCCTTCTCCCCGCGTTCCACTTGTATGCACTCGTATGTAGCCTTGTTACATTCCAGCTTAGGGTTGCTGGCGGCCTTGTATCCAACAAAGCCTTGCTCGCATTTCAACACCAAAATTGGGCGATTTATGAGATAGAAGTAGAATTTGCAGGTATCGTCAATGGCGTCCGAAGTGGCATAAAGATGGCCGGAGCGCTTGGTGATCACGTAGCGACCATTATTGGCACGGAATGCCAGAGAGCCGTCGTTCTGCCAGACGAGGTCAAAGAGCGCATTAGAAGAGCGTTTGTCGCCGGAGGCCTGGATGCCGCCACCAGTCTCCAGAGTCCAATAGCGATCTTGCATGGTGCGGATGTACCAGCGCTTGGTACTCCAATCAAACTCCAACTGGAAGGTCTCATGATCGGATATTTCATCCTGGTTGGCCGTAACATCAACACCTAACAAGCGTAAACATTCCTTACTCCAATTGTTGTACATACTTAGTTAATTACATTGATTTAGAATGTAATTATCTGGTCGACCCGGCGGCAACGAGTTGCCGGTGCGGATGTCGTTGTGATTCTCTTTGACGAGCGACACAGTGAACGTGTATAAAAAGCATTACTTATGCCGGCACATGCGTGCGAAGTGTACGTGTGCAGTTTACGTGTATACCGATAGTATTGTAAACGATTAGATATTAAAATCTCACATCCGGCCGGAAGCTGACTGGCCAGTAATATCGCTAACCAGTCGCGTTTTTATCGTCGTCATCCTTGTCGCATTCTTTACACCGCATTCACTTCCCCGAAAAGTGCATTACACTAAAATCTCGCCGGCCTGAATAAATATTTCGTTAAATTTGGATCTTATTTAAAGATGACGACACATGGGGTGTGCGCGGCAGTCTGTAACTCGCAATCAATACACGCACCAGGGGAACGTGCAACCCCACGTGAGACATTAGTCATCGACGGCCCACACGCGCGTGCCTAGGACAAGCGCAATCACCCTCGGGTGGAATTCATCAAACAACGCCCACACGCACGAAGTCGTACTAAAGTCCCGTCGATGGTCTCGTCTACAAAAACTGCAGCCAGCGTGCAAAGTCGCTCGGTGGATATTGGATGTTGAAGTTGTTATTGGCAGCAAGGCGCGCATAATAAATAAACCGGCAGAGTGTGCCGGTCGTGTCCATATCGCATATCGAGAGAGCATCGAGGAACCGAAGCGCCGAAGAACTAACTGGAGAACGACTGGCTGGTTGAGGGCTTTGAACTCGACCTTTACCTCACACAATACAATACAATGCAATATCTCGAGCTCCACGAACATTCGTCCGGTAACCGGCCGTGTGTCCATAAGGCCGATGATAAACTGCACTGGAATGCTCCCAAATAAGTGTTTTCATAAGGTATCAATCGAAATGTGGTATTCAGCATTCAGACGAAAAAGATTACACTCAAGATTAACTTAACTTGATAATATACAAATCATTAGTTTTAAATAAAATTTGATTTTAAGTGAATGGAATTCGGTGGAATTAAATTTAATTTCGATGTTTCCTTATCGTTGCAATCAAGATAAAGCAATTGCTTAAATTATTATTATTGAAAACACTTCAATTTTTTTTCCTTTTATGTCCAATAAAATGCGCCCATCTCTGTTTACTGTTTGAGATTTTAGGCACAATAAATTTGCTTAATTTTCTTAATTCAGAGCGTCTCTTAACTGTAACGAGGATTTATGAAATTTCACCGCGGCCGGTTTGTATCATTCAATTATTTCGTTTTATTTCTTCGCGGACGTAAAATACGTTGGTATTGTTCGGCTCGCCGCGCACCACATCCACATGCACATTACTTCTTTTTTTATTTTTAATGAGACATAATTAGAGTGTATTGTAATGAGTAATGGGAGAACGTTAGTTAACGTGCGGAGCCGCGATCCGGATCGCGCGCGACGGAAAGCAGTCGAGGAAGGAAGAAGATGAGCGCATCGGCTAGTCGCTGGCACGAAAATCACGTACGCTCTTCGGCTCGATTGCGCCGCGAGTGCCTACGCCAGGTGATTGTCTTGTTGCGATCTGCTTGACTGCGGGGACAACAACGGACTCGCGGTTCGCCGTCCTGCCCCGTCCGCGCGACTTCGTGTCGTGCGCGACTGGATATAATACGCAATTGAAAAAAAAAAGTGGAAGAAAAAAAAAACGGCACCCGACACTTTCCAAACGCAAATACTCGTGAGAATGCCACGAATTGCGTGCGCCGCTCCAATGGAACTCGTTTAGAAAAACATGCTATTCATAAATTCGTGGAACGATCACAACAATAGGAATAATTGTAATGTAAATATTGATTGTGTTTTGATAGGCAGATTTGCTATGTGATGCGCCGCGGAATGGCGATAATGAACTTGGACTCACGCTGATTAGTTATGCTACGCGTGTGACGTTGAAATGCATAATATTGTACTTCTGTATGCGTTTGAAATTCAAGACGGCCGCTCGGACGGGCTGAAACCTTCGGCGGCAAGTCTACGTCTTGAGAGCGTCTGGAAACAGAACACGTGTGGGCGACACAACACCGTGACAAAAAGCTTGAGCTTTAAGAGCTGGTCGTATGCCATATGGTTGTTGTTCTTCCGACCAGACCTAACATGACGCGCGAGACGATAGATGCGTTCGTGAAATATAATTTCCTCAAATTATGAATGTGAGAAATCGAGCCCAAATACACGACGCGCTTAATTGGAACATTAACTCGTCGCGCGGACACACGCTGCAGGTGATTTAATGAAACAAGCGCGCGCTGTCCAGCTGTTGCCCCAGCGAAGGAGCGATAATTTCGCGCTACGTTCGACTCACCTTGTTTCACAGAGACGAATCGCGAGTTGAGCGATGCAATGAAACTCGCCTGCGGCAGGGAATCCTCCAACGAGAAGAGCTCATCTTTGGTCACCGTGTTGGAACGCGTTTTCAGCACGGCCTTGGACCCAATCGGGCTCAAATATTGTCCCGTACGATCACGAAGCGCCAGTTGCCCGCTATGGTACTCCGCCGAGAAGAAACAGTCCTTATTGCAGACGTCCACCAGCTTGCCGCTCATGCTCAGATACTTGTTGTTGCATGTGTGGATCGCGTACTTGCCGGACTCTTCAAGACGGAACTCAAGGGTAAAAAGAGTGTCCTCTCCCCATGGGATGTTAGCGTCGACATGGATCTCATCAAGATTCTCACTGAGATGTGCGAAGCGCTTGCGTCCGACCGAACGCAAATTTACCTGTAGCCCATCCGCGTTAACCCCAGCATATACCACAAGACATTGTTTGTCTTACCTGAGGACGTGCAGCCAAATGGATGTGCCAGAACTCAGCATCTCCAGGCACTTTGGCAGTGCAGGTAAGCTTGTCCTGAGTAGAACCAAGGAAATATCCGCGAACCACGTTCTTGAGTGCCCATCGACCACTGCCGTCCTCGGATACGCTAATCTGGAACTGGCAGCCGGCATCCTTCTCATCACTCTCACAGGTCACGTTACCGAATGAATCGACCGCCAAATATTTATCCAAATGAGACCGTAAGTAGATTAGACCTATTTGGTAATACCACATATCTCAGTACCACCTAACATCAACACTTCGTAAAGTACTTACTGTCGCCAGCAGTAGGACTCTCCGGTTCCAGAGTCCAAATCTGCTTCTTCTTCAATGAAGCACCATTGGCGTTGATCTTAAACCCGAAAGTCTCAGCTGTGAGGTAACGGAACTTGGAGTTGATCAAACCAATAGTCCAGCAGCCCTTCTGCTGGTTTTGCGTGATGATATCGCCGCATCCGTTCAATTCACCGTTGGCGTGGCCGTTCATTCCGTTCATATTGTCTAAGTCGGCCGGGACGGGATGGAGACAATCTGGCGATTGAAACACGATTGTATGTAGGCATTGCAGCTATTGTCTTGGCAAGTGTATGCAGCGCGATAAAAAGGTCAAGCATCCGCGCTAGACGATAGTGGCCGGCTCCTTATCAGGAAGGAAACGATCAATGTTACCCGCGTGCCACGCCATGCAGAGCATGATTTGCACAGCGAAGCCAGCATAATTACTCATCGGTTTAATTAAGTAAGGTCGCCTTGGCCATTAATATAACCAGTGATAGCCGTGAACGTAGCGGTAACTCTTCGACAACCATCGCTCGCGAAGAAGCGGCGCGCAGCTGACCGACGCGAGGAGAGTCAGATGGCGCGATGGTGCCGGAGGAGCCGCTGTCGAGATTTTTGTTGAATCAGCATCGCTGCTGCGGCCGTCTTGCCTTCCGCGATGACTCCTTTGTGGCGAATGCGTCGCGAAGTAGCTCGAAACATTGGGCAGCATGGTGCGATGATGGTCGTTATTAATGTGTTGATTTACTTTGCGCAACCGCGGCCACTATAATGATAATCAATCATAACTCCACAACTCGAATTCAGCTGGCTGAATTTGTCGCAGCGAATTGGTAAACAAACCGTAGCTTTAATTTGATTTATTTGGGGGAGAGTGATCAGAACTACCAGCTGACCTAAGCACTTTCATGAGAGTTATACATGGCATGCATCGATTTCGAATAATCACCGACAAATATGTAGCTAGCCTGATGGTTCAACTTGCACTTTATGTCTTTAAATGGAAATTTACGGTGACATAGATGGTGATTCTATTCCGGGCGAATTGCGGCGGGTTTTCATTGAAAAGATGCGTCAACGCATCATCGCCCAGAGACAACAAACAAACTAAAAGTGAGTAAGAAAAACGGTGATCATGTCGCGATGCGTTCAGCAAGAGAGAGTTTTTAGTTTTATTTTCTTTTTTTAGTCGCTGTCAACGTATAGAACTACTCATCGAGAAACCGCATAATTGCAATTTTTGCGTTTTGTCCACCGCACATCTCCGCAGGAGGTCAATAGCCAGAGAACAATCCGGCTATGCCGCTAGTAAATCATCCATTGCCAATCAGTGTGCGTTGAAAGTTTTCTTTTCGCGTTTGCCGCGCGAGATCGTGCGAAAAGCGTCGCATCCGAACGATGTCTTCGTCTTTGGCATATTTAGGGTAGACGTATTTAGACTGCGCGCACGGTTGGCAATGTCTCATTCTTTGTTGGAGGTTTTTCGGAATTTATTTATAAACCGGTGTTGCCTTCTGGTTTCGCGTCAATATGGTGTGTGTGTGCGTGCCTGCGAGCGCACGTTTCAGTCGGGCATAAGTTCGTAGATTTTTCAATGTCAAGGGAGAGGCCAAAAGCCTATCGCACTAGCTCGCTTCTTCGCGCAGTGCATGCGGCGGCAATGTTGCTGCCCGCCGGGTTCGTCACCAAGTGGTTGTGCTGTCGTCTTGTCGCATTGCAACTCACAACTGGAACTGGGACTTTAATTTACATATCGCGCATTCTTCGCGTCGCCGAAATTTCCCGGCGGAAATTAATGGTGAAATGAGCGAGAAATTTTCTAGAAACGCATGAACGAGACTATTTGCAATTTATGTGAAAACAACACGTAAGCCAATGATGCAAAAACGCATTGCCGCGCATGGGAACATCCCGCATGCCGAAAACAGTTTCGCTCAGCGTTTTGTCTTTATCGCGATTCTTGCGCACCTTCACTCAACGCTTGATCGTTTATGATTGTTGCGCTCATCCGCGGTTGTACGGTGTTGAAAACTAACGTGAACAGAATGCTTACGAGCGATATTACGAATGTCTCGATTCATGGGAATCAAATAAAACGCGTAAATAACGCAAAACGCATGTAGCCACCGCGATTGTACGAGAAGAGCGTAGAAAAATACAACAAACACTGCTCGGCCGTAAAAAAACTGTTTCGCTCGAATACCGTCGCAATATACACATCAATTGACGGATTAGTTGTTCGAGAGGAGCAGAAAAATGCGCATCAGAAGGTAACAAAGTAACAAAACGCATCTTGTGGCTAGAACAATTGCGGAAAAGAGAAAGAAATGACTTTCACGCAACACACGCGCGCTGTTCGATCGTAAATTGGCAGATAACGACAGACAAACACAAATTAAACACACCATACGCAAACAAATTAACAAACTTTCAAAAAATTGAATTGATGTATTGTACGAAACTTGAATGGCATGCAAGAATTGGCCCGTAGGCGAGAAGACGTGCATTCATTGATAACAAGGCAAAAAAAAGTTTTCTTACAAAAATGTGCGAAATATCAAAACAAACGCGACTGTCGTGAGTTTGTGTTGCGAGAGGGAAAATGCCGATCGGCTGCAGGCGGGCGGCAGTGGGGACCGCCGGCAAACGCAAAGGGTGGCAGCCCTTCTGCAGTCACGTTGTGCGCCGGATCGATAAACCGGCCGGCAACCGGCTACCGCCCGTTTCAAAGTTCCAACGTTCCGAACTCGAAACCATAATACACCCAGACCTTCTCTTCGGTCCTGCATGCATCGACCGGCATTGTCTCGCCTCTCGACATTTACAATTCATCAGCAATACATGATCAATTACAAATTACTTATACAATTCGTGCGACAGTTTTGAATTTGTTAGTTTGCTTGGTTGATGCGGTTGTAGGTAGAATACAGGAGTTGTTTTGTTTTTGTTTCGTTTACCTAGCTGTGTCTTCGTTCACTGGCAACACTAAAAACCGCAAGTCCTTCCAGCCGCGAATGAGGTATCACTTGAACACCGAACACGTTCTGAACACTGAACTGAACTTGGCGGCGGGAAGCAGCAGGATGGAATGCAAATTGTGCGAGAGTGTAATTATTAATCCCGAATGTGTGAGTGGTGTCTTCTTTTCAGCGTCTGGTGGTGGTAGTTGGAGTCGCGACTACTGCTCGCTACGTCTACGATTGAACTGCGTTGTCTTCTTCGCGTGCCGGCGTATATATACTGGGTGGGGATGGCGTCCCGGCTCGCGGATTGTGATCGCGGCCCGTGGATCGGAACCGCTGCCGGTGCCGAGATTTGAACGCCTTGGGCCCACCGGCGTGTGCCAGCCAACGTGCGCAAAAAAGCATGAGTGCTCCTAATAGCTCGTTTTTGTTGCGTTAATTAATTTATTGCCGGCTAGCGCGAAGAAAGTACACCGCGAAGTTTTGAACTAATTTTGGGACGCGGACGTGCGCGCGCGGTGGGCGGCTGTCATCGTTCGGTTCACAACAGGGCTGAGGGACGAATATGTTTAACATAATTGCGCATCTTTTGGTGCCTGGTTAATTTTACATGAAACCGTGCTATGCTTTAGTGGCCTTACAGTTTAACGAAGAAACAAACAACTTTCAAACTGTCCGACTTTACTTTAATTGTATTCAATTCCAAAAACGTAAATAACTCAAAATTATCGGTGAATAGAAACTTTGAAACAAAAGCCAAAATACAAAAAAAGAGTTAACACATTTTTCGCAACGTAAGAATTCTCAAATTTTACTCAAATATATTTGTATTTATTAAAAATAATCAATATATGCAGTGTCAATTAACTGAATTACAAACACAAATTATACAAGTAAATCAATCTTTATTGCACTTTTTTCAACAGTTACAAGAAGAGAAAGTTAAGAGTAAAATACATATAATAATGTCGATTTTTTTAAAACGGGACCACACCACCAAAACCATAGCAATATATATATAAAGGATGAAACAATGTGCGTAAACCATCTTTGCAACATGACAACACATAACAAACAAAACATTTATTGAACAGAACAGAAGTGATACATTTTCAACAAATTCAATTAACAATAATAGTAGGTAATTCCGTACAATTATCACGATCAATTAGGTGCCTTGAAAATGTAATTAGGTACTAATAATTGCGCTATTTAACAGCATATGACTAGTCAGCAATGGCACGCGTTACTCACAATGAACAACATGCTTACAGAGTAAGCAGAATATGTAGAATGGTACAATTTATCAGTGATTGTTAAGCAGTCATTAATTACTATGGTTAAGCAAGAATCAATAATATTAAAAAAAAACCTTGTCGCAGGCACAAGATTTAAAGTCGTTATTTTTATATAGGCGATATGCTAAACCAAAAATAAAATATTTTTTAGAACAATAACTACAGACTTGTAAATACGATTGCCACTCTGAAATATTTCCTATAACATTTAAAGTCTAATTATAATTAATCCTAGTAGAATGTTATTTAACGAATTCGCGGATATTTGTCGGCATTTTAGTAATTGTAACAAATTTGAACAATGAAATAAGTATCGCATTGTTTTAAACGCATGAACAATGTTTAGAACTTCGAAATGTTTATCGCAACATTTTTATTAGATTGTAATTCAAAGAAAAATCATTTTTGCCAAACATAATCGATCAATTAGGAACCACTTCAACAAAACATAATAATTGTTAATGAGATAAGCCACAATCAAAAATTGCGAACGTGTTCGAAAAATGGCCGTCGTGCCTGAAGTACCAAAGTACAACGATCGCTCCACGCTAGCTTGCTTCCGAGTGTAAGTTAATAAAACTTGTTTAAACTTTTAAATTAACCGTCTGACTGGCCGCGTGTTATCTATCGGCTACTCACGCCGGCGACAAGCCACGGCTATGTTTACTTGCGTGTATCGAATGATTGTTTTGCAAACCAGAGCATGGCTTGCACACTCCGCTACCACGAAGAAACGTGAAGCAACAACAACCAAGAAGACAGATAGAAGACTCAAGACGTATACGCGATTCGTGAAACAAAATCGTATTTCATAACGCTACAATAACCCATATGTATGCCTCTGCGTATCTGCTTTTGATTCGGTCACTTGTGAGCGCTTTCAAACGTTGACAAATAATGTAAATAGCAAGCAATGAACGTGAAATGTTTTCCAACTTGAAGAAGCAACATGGTTTCAGAGTGGCAAAAGAGTTGGCGTGGCAATTTGAGCCGACACAAAAGGTAGACTTTCTACTCACACTTGTCGGATGACAATGGGGGCTCTCCAGATGTCGACGGCTGTAAAGGCTCCCTCATTGTCGGTGGCAGTCCGTCCATCAAATCATTATAAACTTCCAAGAACTCCGGAGTTGACATAACGTCTAGATCCAGAACGGTGTCCGACAGATCATCCAAGTCCAACATTACCTCAGAGAGTAATGTTTCATCAAAATCCATCACATAGTCAAGCTGAAACATTTCTTCGTCGGAGAACTGCACAGTTTCCGTGTTAAAGGGTGTGACGAAAGACAATAAGTCATTAAATTCGGGGGACCCAGCCGGTTCCGCAATCATGCCATTAACACAAAATGATTCTGTTGGCTCTTCAACAGGAGGAGTATTGGCGGTTGCAATAGAAGCATCACCTGTAAAAATATTCGAAGGTACGATTCCGTCCTCCGTTAAAGCCTCAAACGTGAATAGATCACGCAGCACTGATTCCGTTGTAGATGATAAGTTGAATGGCCAAGTCTCATCGTGCTCGGGTCTATCTGAGGGAGATTCTGTTGTATTGTCAGCATTAGTAGTTGGCTCTTCTTCGGTGTTACATATGTAATCAACTGGGAGTGAATCAATTGAGTTTTCAAACATTATAGGCACAGTGTCTAATGAAATCGGAATAATTGGTGGATTTTCTGAAAGGTTCCACTCCGGTTGAAGTAGACCATTTTCGATGAGACAATCTAGGGCCATCTGGCTGGGTGACGAGCTACATGGCAATGCAAACTCGAACGAGTCATTCAACGACGAGGAGAAACTTGGCCCTTCATAGTTGTATAAGAAAGCCCCCATTGCCCCATTGTCGCATTGGTCTGATGGTACTCTGAAATCCAGTTCGGTATCTGAAGCGAAATTTAAAAAAATTAAGAGTGCATTACAATCAACTCGCATTTAATCAGACTTTCAAGAGTTCCAAAATATTAACAATTATTCCGGCTGATGTTTTTGGCGTTGATTAGTGAAGATACCGCAAGCAGCACTTACAATCCGAGGTGCAAGTGGCCATCCGATCTAAAGAAGCAAGAACTTTATCCTTTATTGCCTCGTCGCACTCTCCAACATGTATTCCCTTGTCGCACAGAATATTGATTGGACATGGCACTTTGTACTCAGTCTCTTTCTTCTGTATCTGCTCATTAACAACATTAATTGGGTTTATTTCTCTGACAGGTTGTGGCGCGATTCTTCTTGGTTCTGGTGTTTGCTGACTTATGACCGGTCTCCCCAAGTTTGGAGGTAGAGGAGCTCGCATCATTGCATTGCGAGTTTCTTTGGGGAGCTTCACTGGATGCATATCGTTAGTGAAGGAGTGCCCAGAGGTCCAACCGTCTTCTTCTTCCATGTTGGGAGTTGGTCCTGTACCATCAGTAGCCGTTCCGATCTGTGTGTTCGAATTCGAAGCGTTCATGCGATGGCGAATTACCTCTAACACAGTACGATTTGTAGCTTGAGGTAGGTCAGAATTGCAGGGCTTGGCAGAAGGTACTGGTCGAGGTGGGTTTGCTGGTGAGGTTGTCGTTGATGGATTCATCGTATTAGGTGTAGTGTATTTATAGTAAGGTACAAGATTATCTGTGTCCCAGCGGGTTGAGATACATTGAGTTACTATTGGTATGGAGCGGTAGTCTATTAGTGGTCTGGGTGGACGTGCTACCATCCTTGTTTGTGGTGCACGGGATTGGACCATCATTGACGATTGTGGTGGTCTACGGGCTTGGCCCATCATTGAAGATGGGATTTGCTGTTGGCCCATAATTGATTGGGGTCTTTGCTGTGATGTATGAGATTGGACCATCATGGAGGATTGTGTTTGCTGCAGTGTTCGGGTTTGGCTCATCATTGATAGTTGTCCTTGTTGTGTTGGACGAGATTGTCCCATAACCAAAGATGGTGCTTGTTGTGCGTTGCGGGTTTGACCCATCATTGCGGATTGTGTTTGCTGAGATGAACGATATTGAACAACCCTTACAGATTGTGTTTGTTGTGGTGTATCAGACTGAACCATTATTGAAGATTGCGCTTGTTGTGGAGTACGCGTTTGACCCATCATTGCAGATGGAGTTTGTTGCGAGGTGCGGAGTTGACCCATCCTTGACGGTGGTCTTTGTTGTTGTTGGTGTGTACGAGATTGAATCATCGTTGTAGACTGTGTTTGGTGTAGTGTACGAGTCTGACTAATCATTGATGATTGTCTTTGTAGCGGTGCGCCAGATTGAAGCATCGTTGATGATGGTGTTTGCCGTAGTTTATGAGTGTGACCCATTGATGGGTGTTCTTGTTGTGTTGGTCGTGATGATCCTATAACTAAAGATGGGGTTTGTTGTGGGCGGATTTGGCATATCATTGATGAATGTTCTTGTTGTGTTGGACGAGATGGTGCTATAACCGATGTTTGTTGTCTTGTATGGTTTGGACCCATCATTGAAGATGGTCTTTGCTGCGTTGGTCGAGCTTGACCCATCATCATTGATGGTTGTTGTTGGTTGCGGGTTTGACCTATCATTGCTCGTGGCATTTGCTGAAGTGTACGGGATTGACCTGTCATTGAAGATTGTGTTTGCTGTGCTAATCGGTTTTGGCCCATCGTTGATGGTTGTCCTTGTTGTATTGGACGAGATTGTCCCATTACTAAAGATGGTGTTTGTTGTGTTGGTCGAGCTTGACCCATTATTGACATTATTGATGTTCCTGAAGATGTAGTTTGCTGCAATGTGCGAATTTGACCCGAAATCGAAGATGATGTTTGTCTTTGTTGCGGTGTACGAGATTGACCCATTACTAAAGATGGTCTTTGTTGTGGCAAGATAGATTGACTGATCATTGCAGATGGTGTTTGCTCCGCAGTACGCATTTGAACCATCATTGAAGATGAGGTCTCCTGCGATGTACAAGCTTGACCTACCATTGGGGATCGTGTTTGCTGCGCGGTACGCATTAGGCCCGTGATTACAGCTGGTGTTTGATGCGATTTGCGAATTTGATCCATCCTTGATAGTGATCTTTGTTGAGAGGTGTTAGATTGGCCCATCATTGAAGATGATATTTGTCTTTGTTGTGGTGCATGAGATTGTACTACCATAGATGAAGCAGTTTGCTCTGGTGTAAGGGTTTCAGTCACGGATGGTTGTGTCTGTTGTAATGTGGGTGTTTGCATCATGTGTGGTGTTTGCTGTGATGTCGAAGATTGAAATCGGACCGATTCCAATGAGTCTTGCCTAGAGGTGAATAGCCTTCGCGGGTCTATCCTGGTTTCAGAATGCGGACGCTGAGGCGTAGTATCCATAATAAAACTTTTTTTTAATAAAACACTTTTTCAAAACGACGAGCGTGTCTCGGTGTGATCTGAACGCGGTTGAATATATATTTTTTATATTAATATTGTAACAAATATCATTTGTTTGGTCATGGCCTATGCGATTCAAATGATTAAATTCAAAATTTAAAAAGTGAACAATCCTGATTTGTCATATGCTCGGAATCGTCATAGCAATAAGCAAAATTTCAAACAAAGTGGCAATACTTGAATCCATGGACGGGCAGAAATGTTTAAACATGCAAAAATGCGTGAAAACCTATGTAAATTCGTTTAATTCCCTAGACACCAATACGGCCACAGCAGATCGCGTTCAAACCAAGACCGCTAATGATTCACACTCTGATTCGTCCGTTTATTTTAATTAAACCCTGATTTAAGTACCGCGCTCAGCGAATTCTTTTCCTGCTATCGGTGCGGTGCACTTCTCTTCATCGCCTGGCAAATTTGGGCCGACGTAATTTATCTAATTTAATTAACACAAAATTAATAAGACATTAAAATTTCAAATTGAAATTAAACGCAGCGCGCAGAAGCCGCACGCGTCTGCTTATTTATTCATACAAGAACAACGCAAGCACTTGGACGTAAATTCGGAATCGTAGTCCGATAAATTATAATTGACCGATTGCAAATGGCGGCAATAGAGTGATCATTAGCGAGCCTGTACTAACAACATTTTCCTAATATCGTATTCAATACTGGTAAGTGCTGCCGTTCCTGTCCTGTCGCGAATGCCCGGCGGAGGTTTGCGGCGAGTGTTGCGGCGAATGCATGAACTTGACGCAGTTCCGGTTGCGATGCTCCTTGAGCCCAGTGATGTCGTGCTGTACAGTGACCATTGTAGCGGCCATACTGGTCAGTCGGATATTGCCACCATTGTGCTTTGGTGACCAGCAGAGATGTACGGACCGTAGCGATTGTGCGCGGCTTCCTCATACTCGACCAGTCTATTAGCACTGCCAATCGTGTCGGAAGGTTTTGGTACATCCAAGATATTACGCAGACGGTCATACTCACCGAAGGTGACGCCTGCAGGACCAGGTCAATCGGAGCGCAGCGGCTCTCTGATGATGGTCCGTTTCTAGCGTAATGTCCAATGCGTCCGTCGGACTCAGTCCGCTGCGGAGGTCACCAGAGCCAGAAACAAATCATTAAACAGAAGCAAACAACGCGTCCGTTAAATTTCATTAAGTGTGGCGTGCGCGCGTGCGCCGACAATTAGAGCATGCAAGCAAATCAACATTAATATTTCATTAAACTTTATCTACCGCAGCGGATGGCGGCGCGCGCGCTTAATTAAATTTTACAACTGCGCAATTATAATTAATTTTGATGGGGGCACACTCACACCAACGGCTTGAAGCGAGCGTAACGACGTGATGTACATGGAGACGCTCAAAAGGTGTCCTCCCCTGTTGCCAATCCGGCGACCACATAGGGGTGCATGGTGCCGGCAGCGTACAAAGTTGTACAAATGTATCCTGCTTCTCGAGCGTTGCCGTGGGTCCATAGCTGCGCAAACCAGTGCCAGGCATATTCACAATTTCGAGTATACTTGAAAATATTGAATTTTGTATGAACACATGCACTAAAGAGACGTACAGTCAACTGTAGAACCAAACATTGACATTCTGAAAATCAAAGAAACAATTTTCGGTGACGTTGGCACTGTTTGATCGATTTTGAATATGTTTCGAATATAGCAAGCCATGGCACTAACAAGTGCCATCAAAGTCTACGGCAATGAATCCAATTAACAACTTCAGGTAGCCCGCACTCTCATTGGGCAATTGCCACGAAAACACGGCAAAACATGCATGACATTTCAATCATAAAAATATTTTCAGGTCTCTTGCATGGTATTTTAATTAAACATTTCTATATTGAAGTTAACATAGGTTATTTTTATCGATATATCACACTCTAACTTATTTATAACCAATTACATAGACGTAAATCGCGCTATCCAAAAAATCGAACTAACTAAACGAAACAATCCGTTGGGAAAGTCTAGAACACCTCTAAACTGGCAAGGACAATGTTGTTGCAACGTTCAACTGAACGATTTGACAGACCGAGAGATTGCCACCAAGTGGATCAGCAAGCTATGCTGACCGTCTGGAGCACGGCTATCCACAGTACTCCACCAAGGTGACCATCATCACGCGGGGATTGGTGAATTGGTTACTTGACTGTGAATACAAAAATACATTATCAATCTTCATAGCATGGTGATACGCCGTCGGTAAGAACTGCATGAGCAGGTGATCGGCGGATAAGCGAACGAACATAGCGGCGAAGCCATTGCCAGGGCGTGGAAGTTACACAACTAAATGAACAATTATACCTTAAATTTTTGTATATACAATGCAGCGTTCAAACACATGGTGGTCTTTAGCGATGCTTACGGCCCTTGTTGCCGGGTTCTGTAATGTGATTTTCCGCCGACCGCCTGTTGATCAAATATTAATTATTTAGTACTTGGCATGCATTTAACATTCACTTACTAAATTTGCTCCTTATTGTATGGGTACAACTTTTTCAATATGTATTTTCGGCTTCTTGTTAAATCCGAATCAATCAGGTTAAGACTTTCTTGCTTCTCGGGGTCGCCGGATATCGGCGGCAACTTCGGTTTTCTGCTTCCACGTGCGCACGTTGATTGCTTCCTGCTCTTTTGGTAGTTTATTTTGGATGATTTCGCTGCTGTTACAACTGTCTGTAACTGTTATCCAACACAAAACATTAGTAAGATGTCTTAGATTTTTACCATAACATGTATGTGTACAATACTATACTTCAACAAGTAAATACAAATGCGTAATATATTATTTCAATAAAGTTAATTTAGTTAATAAATAACTTACTTCATTTGCAGATGAAGCAACAGGATTCAACCATCCTGCTTTCAGTACTTTGATAATCTTTGTCTTTGCAATGTTCATCAATCTTTGCTACCATTACTTTGTGGGCAAATTGATCATCATATGAATCATTCTGTAGCACCTCTGACACCCAATCTTTGTCCTTTTCAGCTGCAGCCCTCTTGTATCCATATTACAGTATCCATTTCTGAAGTTGTTCATACCAAAAAAGCTTAGACAGCTTTGTCTATTTGTCATTGACTTGGTCCTAGGTAATAAGTACTTAGAAAGTGGCAACTTGGCAATAATTGGCTTATAAACACCCTCTGTCAGCAATACTCAAATTTTATTTATTAGTAGTTGTGTATTGTTGCGTGTTAAATCTAGGGAATAATCTTTTCCACCTGCAAAATAAATTTCAAAAAAGCACGAATAAGTTAATTGTGGGTGGCGAGGTTATACACTGAGGGCATGCAATTACCGTGATAACGTCTAGTACTAATCAGCGGATTCACATCGTAATCTACTTCTACGTGCTTTTTCGCGATACTCTTGTAACCTTCCGCAACCTCGTTGGCGCTTTCCAATAATTGTTGTACATACATTCATTTTTAATGCAGAGTGAAACTAGTGAAACCATAGTGCGCACACGAAATTGATATAACCTCTACGTTGTGTTTACAACACTTTCAGGCGAACAATTGGCATTCTTAGGGAAATAAGGATGTAACCAAAATCACCATCTTCTTTGCTCATGCGTATAATTATCAACAGCTACCAGCGCCCCCTCCAATATTTACTTACACTTTTGCACTTTTCAACAACGCTGAGGCTGAGGTAACGAATTCGGTTCATATCACTGTCAGCTGTAGTGCAGTGAAATCGCGCTTTTCAATCTTCTCTCCTTCTTGTCCACTGTTTGTCTTATTGTTATTGTATTAAATATTATTCGAAATACCAAAGATGCCTAAAGCGACCCGATCCAAACCGCCAAAAGCAAGCAGCAGCGACAGTGATTCTGGCCCGGACGACGTAAGTTGAAATTTCAGAATTTTATTAACCGGCATCAATTTTCCAACCTAACATTCGAAAATCACATGCTAACGGTCTGAATTTTTATTTTTCCAGCCTCTGCCACTGAAGAAGGTGAAGAAAGCCCCAGCCAAGCGAGAATCGGTATCGTCGCCTACAGGAGCCGGGGCTCCCGCGGGCGAAGAAAACTCTTGGCCACTCGGACGCAATCGATTCGTGAAGATGGTCGAGTTTAAGGGTAGAAACTTTGTTAACATCAGAGAGTATTACTCTGCAGATGGGGATCTTCGCCCGTCCAAGAGGGGCATCATGCTCACTCTAGAGCAATGGGATGCACTGAAGAAATGTGTTCCTGAGGTTGATGAGGCCATCAAAAGGCATGTCTAGGGTGTCTGTGTTAAACATCTCATTTTTTATTGTTCATTTTAATATATGTAGTCTATGAAACTATATATTTTGATACACTTGTTCTACATTCAACATTGTAATTAAATAAACCTATTTCAATTAGTACTGATTCCTAAATTATTGATAGAAAATTAACAATAATGATTCATAAAATTGTATGCAGTCTCAGAATGTGCTTAGATAATGCACATTTCCATTAAATTATGAAAATTAAGGAAAGCCTGATGCATTGACAATGCAGTCCCATGGTAATTCTTTTAAAAACGTAACATTAGCTTTTTCTGGAGATTGAGTATCGGAAAGTCCAATTCGCAGCTGATATTGATCACTCAATAGATAATGCAATTGTCTTTCAGTTAATGTATAAAAAATCACAAAACAAATTGCGTTGAAATGAACATAAAATGTATTTCTCTAGCCAATTAGTGTTGTACACAGTTGGACTACCCAAATATTCAGCCAAATGAGTTATCATTGCAACTTACACCAGTCTTAATTATTTGTTTATTTTCGGGCGTATTTATCACATTTATGGTTTGCTTATAGTCATAGCTTGTAGAATTACAGGGCAGAGCTACATTAATTTAAACACCGATTTATTTCATAGCCACGTAACTAGTTTTGAAAGATCGCTTGAAATTGCAATAAAAATTATTTTTACCCACTTTTTCAAATGTACTCTAATGTATATACAATAGCAATTTAAAAACGTAGAGAACTCTTTGTTCCGCCCCTGTGCATTATTAGGCGAGTAATATGAGTAAATGCAAAAAAATTCTTAAATGTTCTAGAGTACATCCAAATATACCCACAAACTCTTAAATACATAAATCACAAGATACCTCTTAGCCACACTAACACCTGTCAGAAATATGCGCAAAAATACACCTGATAAGATAAAAACAACCAAAATAATACAAAACATTGAATATCGAACCGATCAGTTAATGACGATTGGGTAAAAATGTCATCTTGAAAAATAATCACATTATGATCCTCACTTATGTAACGATTTTATACGCACAAGTTCAAAATTTAAGTAAATATGACCATGAGAATACTAACTCAAAATTATTCCCGACCCTTATGTAAAGTGCGACTGTAACTTATGCAAATATCACGAGAGTAAACTCCAATAAACTTTAAAACAAAAACTCTTTGCTCTAAAATAAAGAGCAATAGATTATACAGAAAGGCAGAAGATGTTGGAAAAGGTGTAGAGATAAATTATCTTGATTTCCGCAGAAATGATGTCAACATGTTTCGACTTCACCGATACAGATCTGTTTCCATAAGATCTATCAGATCTGTTTCTATAACATTTAAATTTTAATACGAAATCAACCAACTACAGATATTGTCTGATTGTACAATAATACCTTTTCTTTGGTTAGTAACTTAGTAAGATAATCAGCTGCATTTTCATTTGTTGCTATGTAAATTACCTTTTCTAGCTCATTCTTAATTTTATCACGGTTAAAATGATTACGAATATCCATATGTTTTGATTTGGCTCGGAATTAGTCTTCTTTAACTATAGGTATTGCTCTTTGGTTGAAGTAATTTAACATTAGCATACAAGGCTTTCAAGATTAACTTAAGTTCACAATATTAGACATTACAACTAGTTTTCTTCGGTGTTGTTGTTTTCAGGCAATCTATGAAATTGTCGCCTGTTTCGCCGGTATTCTCTTTCTTCAGTTTGTATGTAAAAGGATAGTGGTTCAGCAGATTCGCAATCCGTCCCTCCTTTGCCAGATCAATGATCCACACTCTGTCGTCTTCTTCCACGCTTTCAGCTGCCCTATCGCGGTGTCGCCTGTCGTAGTTTTGTTTGGAAATCCTTTGCTTCGGAAGTAACTTCACATCCTTGACTGGAAGCGTCTCTCTCAACTTTCGGCCAATCAAGAGCTCAGCTGGAGATGCTCCACGATACGTTTCAGTGTTCCTGTAGGAAAGTAATCCAAGGCTGTTTGTCGGAGGATTGTCTTCATGAGCTTGACTGCGTTTTCCATCAGGCCATTCGATTGCAGGTATCTAGGACTGCTGCTTATCCATTTGAATGAATTATCCTGGGTGAAGTCTCTGAGTTTCGCGCAATTGAACTGCGGGCCGTTATCGGAACGTACGGTCGTCGAATTCCATATCTACCAAAAACTTCTTTAAGTTTCTTGATTGTATTTTTGCTAGTGGTACTGCGTAGTTTCATCACTTCTGGATAGCCGGAGTAATAGTCCTGTACTATTAGGTACTCTTCTCCCTGGAGTTAGGAACTCCTGTTAGGAACTTCTGGGTTGATCATTGGTTCAACGGGTACCTTTTTGTCCTTGATGCAAGTTTCTCAGTTTTGTATCGCGTTGAAAATGTCGTTGCGTATCCCGAGCCACCAGACTGTCTCATTGGCTCTAGACCAACATTTGTTAATGCCTAGCGTGTATCTTCTTCAATATTCTTTCTCTATCTTGGAACAGTATAACTACCCTATTCTTGTAGTAAAGTATCTCTTTGTAGATGTTTAATTCATCCATGAACTTGAAGGTTGGTGGTATGCACTCTGGGATTTTCTGCATCTTAGGTCAACAGTCAGATGAATACCATTCATCCTTTGATATTCCTTGAACCTCGATTATCGCCTTGTTGACGGCGTAAATATAGATATTTGTCGGGTTTTCTTCTTCATCATTTTTATTTCAAGGTGTGCGTGACAATGCATCTGGCACGTGAAAATCATTCCCGGGTACGTGGACATGCTATAGTCGAATCGCATCAACCTCATTATAAATCTCTGCAGCCGGTTTGTCAAATTTTTAATTTTTTGTCCCCAAGGATAGTGATCAAGGGTTTATGGTCGATCCTTATTCCAAAGTTTGATCCGACAAGGAATTGCTGTAACCGTTCACACGTCCAAGTTATTGCAAGTGCTTCCTTTTCTACCTGAGCGTAGTGTCTTTCCGTTGGACTCAGGCTTTTTAAGCAGCTCTCTCTGCAATAGTGATTTCCTTGTCCAGTTATTTATAAACTTAGAGAGATAATTAACTATGCCTAAGAATTTTCTCACTTGCGTTACGTCTTTCGGACTCGGGTAATTTACGAATTTTAATTCCCGAGTTGCTAATGACGAATCCCAAATATTTTGTCTCGCTCTTGTGGAATTCACATTTTTGTGGGTTTAGCGTTAACCCGTAATCGGACAGCAATTGGAGTACCTGTTTCAGTGTGCGATCGTGCTCATCTACATTTCTTCCGGTAACGCGGATATCATCTGCGTGCACGTGGATGTTTTTAAAGTTCAAGATATCCATCAGTTGACTCACCGTCTTCTGAAAAATTTCGGGCGAGCTTGTTATCTCGAAGGGGATTCTTTTGTAATAATATCTCCCGAACGGGGTTATAAGTATTGGTTGATGTTTTGATTTATTGGCCAACTTAAGTTGCCAAAACCCGCTGGAAAATTCTAATTTCGAAAAGATATTGGCGTTCCGTATCTTACCAAAGGTTTTGCCCACAGACGGTAACTGGAATATCTCACGTCTGACATATTTGTTTTGTAATTCGGTTAAGTCAGTGCAATTCTGATTTTTCCGTTTTTCTTCTGAGCAATCACCATGGACGCGCTAGTTAGTAGGTTCCTTGACTTTATCGATAATATCCTCATTCATAATTCGGTTGAGTTCCTTTTTTTACTTTATCGAATAAATGAAACGGCACACGCCTTGGAGTTGCAAAGGGATACGGCTCAGCGACTTCCATTCTGATTACGTGTTTGAAAATTTTCAACTTACCAATCCCATTCCAACCTTTTAGAAATCCAGGATATGGTTTGGAGGTTGTTACCCTTTTGCCATTCTCGTTTGGGGTTTTTCCAATTTCAATGCTGTCTTGTAATTTTGTATCTACGTAGATGATTGGTGTTTTCTACTCTATCATCTTTAACGCGCTGAGTGCTGGTCTTCCCAAGAGGTTCTCGTCTGTCTCGATTACGTAGTATTTGAGAGCTTTCCGACCTACCCACTCGGTATTTAATCTTACAGTCCCAAACAGTTTCAATTTACCGTTTCCGGTTCCTAGTAATGTGGACTTGGAATCTTTGAGAATACTTGGGTTGTGGTGATAATGTTGTGTAACATTTGTGCAACTTATAAATGTATTCTTACTGAGAGCGTTTTTAGTCTATTTGCACTAGATTTGATTAAAGCAGTGGTTCCTAACCTTTTCAAGGTCACTATCCCTGTGAACAAGTATGGGTATTGAGTTTACCCCTAGCTGATTTAAAATAGTTAAAACCACATAAATTCGAAAGAAAATATGCTTATTATGTAATAAATTGCACGTTTACTAGTAAAGTAATATATAAATTTATATTATATAAATAGCGCCGTGCTACCATTTACCGTACTATTATTTTGTTTATTGCTATTTTAATACTATTTCGTGCCATCCCGCGATACCCCCCTAGAATCTCCGTTTTACCCCTGCGGGGGTAATTACCGCCAGGTTAGGAACCACTGGATTAAAGAATCTACAATTGTTTCGCCGGTGAGGGTATCGTCAGGACTATCAACACGGCACTTCATAGACATTGTTTAAATAATATTATCAGGCTTAAGTCGGGTTAAATTTTGAGAAGAGAGGAGTTATTTAGATCTAACATTTCATTTATGACCTGTATCGCGAGGTTCATTAGAGAACTTGTGTATTTTCACTACTTCTAAGGCATTCATGTGCGCACCTTTATTACACTTGTGTGCAATAACAAAATTATTGAATTTAACGGGATGATTATTGCTGAAGGCATGTTTAAAAATGGTCGAGTTAGAGTCGGGTTTTTCATGTTCTTTGAACCTAATTCGGAAATTTCTACCAGTTTGCCTTATATTTACCTATTATATACCTGGAGTTGCAAAGATGGCAATCATATCTATAAATACCTGAATTAAACATTTGGGGGACCCTATCTTTGTTGTTGAATAAAATGGTTCTAAATTTGAAGGTTGCTTTTAGTGTTGAAGCTGACAAAAGTCACTACAGCCGGTGAGGAAACATTTCCATTCCGAGAACTAATCGGAGCATTAACTTACCTGTCAACATCCACACGACCGGATATATGCCACGCTATCAGTTACTTGGGACAGTTTAGCCATGGCTACCAGAAAGACCATTGGTTAGCCGCCAAGCGGCCAAGCTCTGTTACAGTCTAGAAGAGGCAAAAGTGAAACAGACAGAAGGTCATACACCGGATATTGCTTTTTGTTTGTGAGCAAATTCTCCGATATCATGAGAATCCAAAGGATTGTTGAAGCGATCGCCAGCACAGCGTTCGTTCCGACGGTTGTTGGAGTAGAGACCCGCGAGTGCGTTAGAAAACAATTAGAAGCTTTGATAAAAAAAGAACGGTTGCTAAAGTGTTTGCAACTGGTGACCTAGTATTAGTAGAGGAGACCCAATGCGGTGGCGGTAAATTGAAAGCTAAATATAAAGGACCATTCGAAATACTTAAATGTTTACCGAATGAAAGGTACGTACTGAAAAGGGTAAATGGACAAATGAGGACCACTGTTGCTGGTCAAGATCAAATGAGACTGTGGCCGCATGAGAAGGCTCAGGCAGATGCAGCTGACGTGTAAAAGGTAAAAAAATAAATTAAACAATAAAACTAACAAAACAATAAAACTAACAAAAAAAAGGGCCTGGACTGGCTGATAAAACAAAAAAAGGGCCTGGACTGGCTGATACTAACAAAAAAGGGCCTGGACTGGCTGATAAAAAAAAAAGGGCCTGGACTGGCTGATACTAACAAAAAAAAAGGGCCTGGACTGGCTGATAAAACAAAAAGGGCCTGGACTGGCTGATAAAACAAAAAAAAGGGCCTGGACTGGCTAACAAAAAAAAGGGCCTGGACTGGCTGATAAACAAAAAAAAAAGGGCCTGGACTGGCTGATACTAAAAAAAAGGGCCTGGACTGGCTGATACTAACAAAAAAAAAGGGCCTGGACTGGCTGATACTAAAAACAAAAAAGGGCCTGGACTGGCTGATAAAAAAAAAAAAGGGCCTGGACTGGCTGATAAAACAAAAAAAGGGCCTGGACTGGCTGATACTAACAAAAAAAGGGCCTGGACTGGCTGATAAAAAAAAAAGGGCCTGGACTGGCTGATACTAACAAAAAAAAAAGGGCCTGGACTGGCTGATAAAAACGAAAAATGGGGCCTTCACTGGCTGATACTAACAGAAAAGGAGCCTTAACTGACTAAAAAAAAAAAAAAAAAAAAAACTTTGGGAGCAATGGGGCGTCCCACCTTAAACAGTAAAAATATGAAAACTTATTGTGATTGCGAGTGTTTCAGAAAACAAAGATGAGCGTATAACAGATCTGGTCAACAAACTACTCTAGACTGAGTGAGTTAGAGTAGATGGTTGGAAACAAAAGATGGTCCGAGGACGAACCAAGGGCAGGAAGGCCGTGTAAGGTTGCGTATATGACCATGCACCAGCAACATGCAGAACACCCTGTGGATATGGAGTCACATCACTGATGGGGGGTTTTTCTGTTTATGTCAGCGACTTGCGTCGCTGGGCATGCGTCTCCTAAGAAATGACTCAGACTCGTGCTCCGGCATTCGTTGTAAACTGTTCACAATTAAGATCCGATCGCTCTGTATTATTGAATAAAACTAGTAAAACCGAAACAACATTTCGTAATTCTAACATATTCACAACCACTACAATGGTTGGAAATTCAGCCACTACTCAGTTCACAACTAATCACACCACTACAATGGCTGGCAGTTCACAACTAATCACACCAATGATTAGGTCTCATGTTACACAACCACACCAATGGTTGGCAACCTACTCAACCACTACAATGGTTGGGTCACACCAATGATTAGGTCTCATGTCACACAACCACACCAATGGTTGGCAACCTACTCAACCACTACAATGGTTGGCAGTTCACAACTAATCACACCAATGATTAGGTCCCATGTTACACAACCACACCAATGGTTGGCAACCTACTCAACCACTACAATGGTTGGCAGTTCACAACTAATCACACCAATGATTAGGTCTCATGTCACACAACCACACCAATGGTTGGCAACCTACTCAACCACTACAATGGTTGGCAGTTCACAACTAATCACACCAATGATTAGGTCACACGTTACACAACCACACCAATGGTTGGCAACCCTGCATGATCACTACAATGACCAGCAGTTCACAACTAAACAAAAAGAAAAACAATTTAGTCATAAATGGTACACATTATAATTATCCATCAAACTACAAACCGTCTCATGCTCAAGAAAAACTTACATACCGTTACAAGTACTACAGCTATTACACTCCCCGTGCAACCCTTCCAATACTCCTACGTAGTATTGCCTAACAATTCCTCTGCCGCGACTTGTGCGTCCGGCATCTTTCTTAGTCGATCGTGAGCGTACTTGTACGTTCTCTTCGAACTTAACGACTTTAATTTGTATCTATCATTTTCTAATACCTCTATTATTTCATAAGGCCCTTTATACTTGGCTTCTAGGTTTGATTACGCTCCTCATTTTGTATGAGCACAAATTCTCCTACTGAAAAACGCTTTATTTTTGCTTTTGTCTTGTCAAATCTTGCCTTCTCGTACTTTGCCGATTTTTGAATTCGATCAATTGCCACTTGTCGAATTAAATTAAGATCTACGTCATGTTCCGCGTTATCTACCATCATTGCCAACGGTCTCGCTACTTTCCCTATTAAGAGTTCTAAGGGGGACGTCTTTGTAGTTTTATTAATTGTGCAATTAATTGCTAATTGAATATTTCCTAACTCATTCTGCCATGACTTATCTGGTGTAATTTCGATTGCCGTTAACATTGCTTTTAAAACGCTCATCACTCTTTCCACTTGGCCGTTTGCGCGCGATGCTCCCGTCGCAATAAGATGTAGGTTAATATTTTTTGAATTACAATAAGTTTTAAAATCATTACTGGTAAAACATCTACCTTGGTCGGCTATTACTCTTGTTGGGGCACCAAACAAACAGACAGCCTTATTTAATGCGTCGATACAGCTGTGACTATTGATATTTTTTGAGTGATGTAGAAAAACAAATTTTGTGAAAGAGTCTATTAATACGAAAACATATTCTTTGGTATCATTCTTTCCACTTAGCTTGCCTGTTGCGTCAATATGTATCGTATTCCATGGGGTAGTAGTCTTTGGAATAGGGTGTAATTCTGCCTGAATTTTGCCTGAATGTGGTTTACTGAGTTTACAAGTGATGCAGTTATCTACAAAACGCTTGACAAGTCGTGACATTCCTTGAAACCAATAGTGTTCGTAAATCTTTTCGAGCGTCTTATCCGATCCTAAATGCATTATTGACTCATGAATATTATTTATGACCGACCATTTCATCGAGTGAGGAATTATTGGTAGGCATAGAGACTTTCCGTTTCTTTGGATATGTCGGTGAAGAATGCCCGATCTTAACTCGTATGTCGCCGCTATGTTTTCGTCTAATGTGTTATTCGCTAAGTCTAATTTTAATTTCGAAATCTCTTCATCTTTCAACTGTTCTGCAAGTAGCCAATTGTCTTGTAGTTCTGCTAAGTTAACAATTTTCAGTTCTTTTCTATTTTCCATGCGCGGTGGGTTTTTATTTTCGCCTAGGTGGTTACGTGATAGAAAATCTACATGTGCCATTCGCTTTCCCTCCCTATACTCTATGTTAAATTCAAACGCTTGCAAATACGCCCACCATCGATGTACTCGTGGTGTTAAATCACATTTCTTTTGTGCAGCTTTTATGGAATTACAATCCGTAAAAATTGTAAATTTGCGCCCGCTTAGATATTGACGAAAATGTTTAATGGCGTTCACTATCGCAAGTGTCTCTAATTCATACGAATGGTACTTAAATTCGGTCGGTGTTGTTCGCTTGCTATAATACGCAACTACATGTTTCTTCTGTTCCTTTATCTGCATTAAAATTCCTCCATAACCATCTGCACTAGCGTCCGTATGTAATTCAATCGGAAGGTTCGGGTCGAAAATAATTAAAACAGGGTGTCGGGTTAGAATTGAAATAATTTGTTGGCGTATTTGTTCATGTTCTATTTCCCATGAAAACTGCTGTTCACGCGTTGTAAGTTTGTGGAGAGGTGACATTTTCCTTGAAAAATTTTCTATGAATCGACGAAAGTAAGATGCGAGTCCTATAAATTGTCTGACTTGTGTGACTGAAGTAGGCGGTGCAAGATTTTTTAGTGCTTCAATTTTTCTCTGATTGGGTCGGATTGTGCCATTTTCTATTTCATACCCAAGAAATTGTACTTTTGTTTTCAGGAATGAGCATTTCTTTAAATTAAATGAAAATCCTGCTTTCGATAAAACATCTAAAACAATTCTCAACCTTTCTATTCCCTCGTCGACCGTTTGTGATACAATCATCACATCGTCGACATAAACGATTACGTAACTAAATGCTAATTCTCCCAAAGCTTTTATTATTGCTCTCTGAAAACAGAGACTGCGTTTCGCAGACCAAATGGCATCGAAAGATATTCATATGAACCGTCGGGGGTAACAAAGGCCGTTTTCTCGATAGAATTTTCATGCACCGGAATCAAATGAAATCCGCTCGCACAATCCAATGCGGTAAAGTACTTTATATTCGTCATTCGGTCAATTTGATCAGAGATTAATGGCAATGGATATCTATCCGGAATTGTATTGTCGTTTAGTTCTCGGTAATCAATGCACATTCTATCAGTGCCGTCACTTTTTTTTACGAGAAGTGCAGGACTAGCAAATGGGGAATAACTTGGTCTAATTATCTTGGCGTCCAAAAGTTCTTTAACTTTCCCACGCATTGATTCTCTTTCTTCGAATGAGAGACGATAAGGGCGTCTTTGTACTGTTTTTGTTGAGTCTATAAGTCTGATCTCAAGTGTGCCCGTGTTTACGCGCGTTAATGGCATTTTGGTCACAAAGTATTCAGAGAAACTACTTATCACGCTTTCGAGTTTTGCTTTTTGACAAGCTGAAATATGTGTGTCTAGATTCTCTAATTTAAAAGTTGTGTTGTCTGGAACACACGAGTGGATGTTTTTCAAAGCTCTTTTAAATACAATGGTAGGTAGTACGAGAGGGTGAGTATAAGCTGAGTAAAGTTAAGTAAACACTTACTGTACGCTATACCCTCACAATATCGCCAAAACGATATTTTTACTAAACCATTGCAAGTCAATGCAAGCATTTGTCAAGCCTGATGTGGATAGCTATTTCGACCATTAGAGGTCTCATCAGCACACCTACTGGCTTGACAAATACTGCATTGAGCGTACAGTAAGTGTTTACTTAACTTTACTCAGCTTATACTCACCCTCTCGTACTACCTACCATTGTATTTCAATCTTATGCTTGCTTGAGCTAACTTCAGTCTCCACCGTCAGGTGGAGCTGACAATACTTCTGCGTCTTGAATTATAAGCCAGTTGTATATAAACCATTGCAAGTCAATGCAGTATTTGTCAAGCCAGTAGATGTGCTGATGAGACCTCTAATGGTCGAAATAGCTATCCACATCAGGCTTGACAAATGCTTGCATTGACTTGCAATGGTTTAGTAAAAATATCGTTTTGGCGATATTGTGAGGGTATAGCGTACAGTAAGTGTTTACTTAACTTTACTCAGCTCTTTTTCAAGTTGAAATGAACTTTTAGTTATTATCGCAGTAAAATTTTGATTCAAAATCTCACGACCCAGCAATACGTCATGAATCAAATACAAATCAGGCAAGACGTGAAACAAGATCTCAGCATAGTGACTTTGAATTTCAACTTGACATAATATTTGTTCAAACGAATTTACTTTACTCGTACCAATTCCAACCATCGTAACTGAATTATAAAATTTCTTCCCGCAGAAATTTCGTGCAATACTTTCTTTTACTAATGAGCATTCTGCTCCCGAATTCAAATGAAAGGGTTACGACTCACCGTTATGTTTAAAAGTACCTCCAGGTGAATCAACTGCACAGGCGTTGACCGTCTTGACAGAACCCTCATTCTTCCTGCAGCGGTTGGCGAAGTGTCCGGTCTCACCGCATTTGAAGCATCTCCCGCTGTTTGACGCTCCCGATGTGGACCGCTGAGGGGTGAATTTCTGGTCTTGTCTCCGCTTCTCGGGGCAGTCAGCCTGTCGATGTCCAAATTTATTGCAGTTGAAACACTTCGTCATCTTGGGTTGGAATGATGAAGTTCTTCGCATCTTCTCCGGGCGTTGCGAAGCATTGTCTACTGCGGCTGGTCGTTTAAAAGAGAGTGCTTGTAACTCCTTTTGTAATTGCTGTCTCGTCTGAATTTCGTTGGTGAATGACATACGCTTTACTCGATTATCGAATTGAGCAATGTGCGTTAATATGGTCGCAGTAGCGATTTGCTCGATGGACGCATCTTTCCAGTTAGTCATCAGCGAATTGAAAAGTCGCCCCGCGTAAGTACTCAAATTTTCATCACCTCGTGGCCTTCCATTCTGTAGATTTATTAGAGACGCAGTCATCGTCTCTGACTGAATAAATCGTGCGGCAAACTGTGATTTAAAATCTTCCCACGAAATATCCGGGTAGGATATCTGCGACAACCACGATGATGCTGCACCCTTCATTGCTCTGCTTAACGTCATAA